TAGAGTCCAGACTCTTAAAAACATCGTCAAGAAAAAGCACTCTTGATCAATCAGAATCTAGCTTAAATAAAGAACCAAGCCTCTTAATTGAAGCGGATTTCGTTTTGATTCAAGCAAAAATCCGATTGAATCAAGACTATTTTTTTTTGCCTATGTTTTCAAGAGTCTGGACTCTAGATCCAATGTGTTTTTTTTCCCCAGTGTTCAAAGATTGGAATTTCTCGCTTAAATTGCGAAAAAAATGACATAAATTCTGGATATTCTGGAGGAATTTTCGCATTTTTTCCGAACTTCCGGACCGCCCTTAGATCATCAGCACTATTTCCGGACTTTCCGGACTTGTAGACACCTTGGTTATATAAGCGGACCACCTATTTTTAAGCCTCTCCGACTGGAGCCGTTGGACTTGGCGAGCGAGAATCTTCTTGCGAGTGCGATCACGACTCGGCGAGGTGCGGACTATGGAAATGAGCCGAGCCAGTCGCGATCTCGAGGTCATACGCGCGACAGCCGTGAAACCGCCAGCTAATTCGCGACAACCGTCGCCGCTACAGGTGCGACGCCTCCGAGAAGTATGATTTTTCGCAGGTGAAAAACGAGGAAATCAAAGCAACAACAACGCCAGCCGCAACCGTCGCGACGAATCAGACGCCTTCGTAAGATTCCAGTGTCTCACTGTCTCCGGAGCACCCATGCGGTTGTGGAAATTCTGGGTCTTACGGCTAGTCTGACAGTACTGCCGCGTGCTAAGGAAAAACGCCGCCGGTATGAACATTCGGGAGTTGCCAAATTTCCCCGCATAAAATTTATATTTTGAGGAAATGGAGATGTTGCATGTGTGAGGAATTTGCAAGCTGACTGTTGATTCTTATGTAAAAGTTCGCGAGAAACACGATGGAGCCACTGGTTTTCTCTGAAATCAACTCCCAAGCTCAAAAAAAAGCTCTCAAATTGAGGCCAAAATGGCCGGGGATATCCCACGCTACCCTGAGAGTCCACCTCTACATCAAGACAAACTCTCCATGCAAAGAGAGGGAGCAAATACATTGACAGGGCTGCCTCTTAATTTGGGGACTCCAAACCTGAAAACACGGCAACCCTGCTAATGTATTTGCTCCCTATCTGGCATGGAGAGTTTGCCTTGATGTAGATGTGGACTCTTAGGGTAGGGTGGTAGATCCCCTCCATTTTAGCCTCAACTTGAGAGCTTTTTTTGAGCTTTGGGAGTTGATTTCAGAGAAAACCAGTAGCACCATCGTGTTTCTCGCGAACTGTTACGTAAGAATCAACAGTCAAATCGCAAATTCCTCACACATGCAACATCTCCGCATTCATGCTCATTTTTTACAAACTGATTGCGGTAGACGCACGGGTTGTAAGAAAGTAAGTTGGGATTTTTTAGCCAACGTGCAACGTGCAAAATCATCATAAAGCTGAAAAACTCAATACAGAGGGAAAACTTTCACATCAGCACAATTTTCCCTCGAAGAGATACCAACGGCGTAAGTCGGTAATCACATGACTCGGTTTGCGACGTCGTCGCAGACTTCCTGTCATACTTCATTTTTTTAAACGAAAAACCACTCAACGGCGATTCTTTAAAACTGCCGTGATTTTTCTTCTCTGTGCGAAGAGAATTCTACATAACTTCAAGGAATGATGTCAATTTGTTCTCCTTTAAAAAAAAATAACATAGAGGTGGAGATTTACAGGCACCGCAAACGAGATATGTGATTGCCGACCTACGCCGTCGATACGCTGTTTAGTGCAACACTAGTAACGACTGCGTAACACTAATGACACAAGTAACACTAATGACACAAGTAACACTAGTAATGATGCGCTGCACTGAGGATTGGCACGATGAGGCCGAAACGCACCTGCAGTTACCTTCCTGAATAATCGATACTAGTGTTGCGCCGAACAGCGTATCTCTCTGAGGGAAAATTGTGCTCATATGAGCTTTTTCCTTCTGTATTGAGTTTTCCAGCTTTACGCTGATTTTGAACGCACGTTGGCTAAAGAATCTGAACTTGCTCGCTCATTTTGCTTTGAAATTTTGGCATATCTTAGATTAAATTGCGGACGAAATTTTCTGAAAATTTTGAAGAAAAATGTCAACAATTATCTCAGGAAATTCAGTTTTTATTGAAGTAAATATGGCAACGTCTAAAGGCCTATACGGCTTTCTTCCTTAGTACGGCAGAGCACTAGTTCATGACAGCCTTAGAAAGCCAAGATCAAAGAAATTTAAGGACTCTTAAAAAAGTTATAATCATTACTAAAAACAAAAATTAGGTGTTAAAGATCGATGGAGGACCTCGAAAAAAATTTTCAAGTACACGGAAAAAAAACAAGTCAGCGCTGAGCCCTAACGCTTTGAGTAAATTAGCGAGGTTATTTTGTGGTAAAGACATGGAATATGAGCCGGTATCGTTCCGGTAATGAGGGAAATCGTGATCTCGCCGGATGGTTCTATAGAAGCCCCTTGATGCAACTATTCGTGCTTGAGGGATGTCCATATTGCCTATCCAAACAATGAAGGCGTTTTTAGATTTTCTCGCGTTCACGGCGACGAGTTGCGTTTACGGCACGTTACAACTTCGGCAATCGTTAACTGCTGCAAGTTGTATTCTATAAACTGTTCTTTGTAGAGGCTACATACTGCGTTGTAATTTTTTTTTAAAATAGCAAAAAGAAAGTCGCACATTTTGTTAGAAGATAAATGCTTCAGCTGCAGCTGGAAAAAAAGATTGGTAGCATTTACGATTCCTTCACGCTGTATTTCACACAGAGTTAATTCTGCCAGAAAAAAGGAAAACGTTACGATATACTGGTATAGGTAACCATTCCTCTGGCAGAATTGACCAATTCAACTCTCTGACTCTGAACTTTTCAAAACTAGTGCTCTGACGCTCCTCGCATTCGCACGGTCCTTGCGGTTAAGCACTGAAAATTTCGTGACCGTTGAAATTCCAGACAGTTTGAGAGATTTGCCGTACAACCGACAATTACCACGTAAAATTTTGCGAAATACGCGATTACGCCAATGATTCTATCTGAACTCAGTTGTCAAACCTACTATCAGCTCTCGAAGTTGAGATCTCAATGATGTTAACAGCCACAATTTTTCGTTAATTCATACAAAATATCTATGGGTTCACGGCAGGCAATTAGAAACCACCGGTAAATTTAAATCTATTTGTGTCTTTAGTAAAAAAAAAGAAAAAAAAATAGGAAAAAACAAGATAGAAAGCATTGAGTGACCTTAGTTAAATTGGGTTGGGATGAGCAACCGAAAAGTGGCATGGCACGCTTTGCGATGTATCGATTGATCTGCCGGTTAAATCAATGGAAAAGGATCGATAAACACGGTGTTTGCAACAAATACACCTTGATAATCTTAAGCATAAAGTCGGCTTCTTTTCTCTTCAAAAAATAAAAAATTCAGGGGTTTTAATTTTGAAACAACGTAATGGAGATACGTGGTTTCGCACTTTAGGCATCGATACGGTAATTTCCGTAAACCTCCCTTAATCACAATGTAAACGATATGGGACAGTGGCATGGCGTGCTTGGCGATGTATCGATTGATCTGCCATGTAAATCAATGGAAAAGGATCGATAAACGGGGTGTTCGTAACGAACACCTTGATAATCGATTTTTAACCATGGCTTCAAATGGAGAAATATCGATAATCGATCATTCACGCTTCGCCACTGCGCATTTAGACTGACTGCCCGGCGGCGCCGTCCAGCATTTTCTGCCCTTTCGAGGTGGGCTTTCCCAGCTATGAGAAGTTTCTTGGTGTGACCATCTGAAACGTGAGTAACGGGATGTGATGTTCGGGGAGATGTCAGCAGTGGCGAGGCGTGCTTTGCGATATATCGATTGATCTGCCATTTAAACCTTTGGAAAAGGATCGATTAACACGGCGTACACAGCGAACACCTTAATAATCGATTCTTTACCACGGATTCAAATGGGGAAATGTCGATAATCGATCATTCACGCCACGCCACTGGATGTCAATCCAGAGCCATGGAACGGGCGAGAGGAAAGGGAGTTAGTGTGTGTGGAGTAGAGTTACAGGGTAGTTGGGAAGAGAAATAGTTACAGCTTTAAAAGGAAAAAAGTGCGGTCTAGGGTCTTGAGTATATTTCTATTTTGGGGTTGGTTGCTGTTTAGTTGATGACAAGTTCTATGTTTCGGAGCCCCGGAGTTTTGAAGGTTCGTGTCAAGTTTTTGTTGCCTTTGCTTTATTTTTAATTTTGTTGCATTTTGTCTGCAGCCTGATTGTTGAAGGACTGCAACCATTTGGAAATTAAGCTGCAATTTTTTCACGGTTTTTTTTACGATAAAATCACTAGGATCATCAATTGGTATCTGAGCGATTATCCTCAGTCTTGTCGCAATTTTAGCTCTTTAAAATTGCGTTCGATAAATCTAATTTTTATCTCATTTATCACGATTTTTTTTCGATACCTAAAAATACGATAAATCGCCGTCAATAAAATCGCAATTTTATTGCAAGTTTTATGCAATTAAATAAATCACAATTTTTTCATTCGATGATATTGCAGTAAATCGACGACGAAAAAATTGCGATGCTTCTTCGATCAAATCGCAACTTATCGCGATCACTGCTACTTGCTACTGGCAACATGTGTTCTAAATGTAAACTGGATCGTATTTAGCAAAAAGGAACCAGCGCAATTACAGTGCTTTCAAAATGGTGCAACTTCTCCGTTTCTTTTAAAAATACTTCATATATATACAGTATTAAAATTTACACAGTTTTCCCTCTAAAATTAACAATTTGTTGGTGAGAAGCCAGAAATATACTAGCTATTCTGAGAGAATTTTTAGATAATTATGAAGGCAACATTTTTGCAAAACTGTAATCACGCTGCTCCCTTTTTCCTAAATGCGATTCAAGTTATTAGTTTCATTCATATCTTCTCTAAAGGCTGATCGTTTGGATTGTCTCTTTCCCCAGCATTTTCATCTCTCTGCTCTCCACGATGACGCTGAGCGATGCGTACGGACTAAGCAAGGGGCCCCTGCTACAGCAGGTGACGCAACCCGTGATACACGGCGAGGGCCCGCACTGGGACGCCAGGAAACAAGTACTATACTTCATCGATACCACAGGAAAATCTGCACACAAGTATGACCCGCATACAGGACAGACAGCGTATACTTCACTCGGTAATTAATTTTCAGATGAAAATAATTTTGATAGCTGGAGATTGTTATTATGCGGGAGGCAGTGGCGTGGCGTGCATTTGCGATGTATTGGTTATGCCATTTAAATCTATGGCAAGGAATCGATTATTAAGGTATTTGCTGCGAACACCCTGTTTATCGATCCTTTTCGATATATATGTTTAAATGGCATAACAATCGATAAATTCACGCCACGCCACTAAGAAGAGGAGGAGTATTCTGCCATGCTGAGAAAAACCGCAGTATAGACTATCAGACGTTGCCAAATTTCCTTTTTATAAAACACGAATTGCCTGGTAAACTTATTGGTATTTTCCTTCAACTTTTTCGGACAATTTTGGTCGCAATTTCATCTAAAGTTCCTAAAAATTTCAAGGAAAAATTTTTACGCCTCTCAGAAATAAACATTTTTTCCAAAGGAATTTGGCAACTCTCAAAAGTTCAAACGGCGTTCGATTAGTATTATACGTAGTATAGCACGGTAGTATTATACGTGTGGAGGGCAATATTAAAACGAGGCTACCGAGTTTGCTCTTAATTCTGCCTTTGAGAGACTTTAGCAAGGTTGCAAACTTAAACGCACATAAATATGACTTTGCCTGGGCTTACGTTGATCGCACTGTGTTTGACGCAATGCGTGAAGTATTCATGCAGTCTCGTAAGCGCTATGCGTTTCACGCCGCCCGCTGCTGACCGCAGCGACCGCACTGTCTTTGACGCAATGCGTGAAGTATCCATGCAGTCTTGTAGGCGCTAATATGTGTTACATGCCAACCGCCGCGCCGCGCCGAGGGTTACTCCTTTTTATCTCAAGTTCTCGTCATCATTGCTCTCTGCGCCGCGCTGTTCCAGGCCAAATTCCGTGTTCGGTTTCTCTCTTAGTCTTAACTCAACATATTAGAGGTGCTGTCTATTGTATCACAGCAAGATCACAAAATTAGAGATATACTCTCAGGAAATGAGAGATTTTGTCACCTTTCCTCGTTTGTATATTCTTTTTCTGAATCCGATTTTTCTTCATTCATAACTACATTTAAAAAATCGCAAAATTTGCCGCTCCCTAAATCCGGCCCTGTACGGCGTTCTTCATTAACACGGCAGTATTGTAAAATGTACATTTGAAACATGTCCGACATATTTTTTAACAGTTTAATTGTCAAATCAGCCATCCATTTTTTACCGAGCACTTATTTGACATGATAACTATCGAAATACACTGGAAAAAAAAACACATTGGATTTTGAGTCCAGACTCTGGAAAACATTGACAAGAAAAAGGACTCTTGATTCAATCAGATTTAAGCTCAAATCAAAAGGAAATCCGCTCAAATCTGATGGAATGAAGCGCATTTTTTCTTGTCAATGTTTTCGAGAGTCTGGACTCTAGATACAATGTGTTTTTTTTTTCCATTGCGGTAATTTTGACGGGTTTTTTTTTTCCAGGTGATGCTGTGGGTGTTATGGTTCCGGTGGAAGGGTCGCTGGACGAATTCGTGGCTGGGGTGGGCCGGGATCTGGTGTTGGTCCAATGGGACGGGAACTCGACGCAGTCTCGGAGCACAGTTCTCGACTCGGTCGAGCCGGACAAACCCGGAAACCGGTTCAACGACGGAAAGGCTGACGCCAAGGGACGCCTCTGGATAGGTAAAACTAGATCAATTATTTACACTGATCGATAATTTTTTGTTTTTGTTTTTGCCAAAAAATTTAACCTCGATTCAAAGGAAGATTTGAGGGGCTTGCCCAAGTAGCATTTTCAACGGAAAAATCGCGATTTGTTGCGATTTTGCCGGCGATAAAATCGCTAAGATCATCAACATCTGAGCGATTATCCTCGATCTTGTTGCAATTAGAGTACCTGTATAGCGAGAGTATGGACAGATCGCTTCATGGAGGGCTTAGGGCCCAAAAGTGCAGCCACCCTTCTAACCAACTTCTAACGCACAAAATTTCACTGCCAGTCTGCAGGTTCCAATTCTAACCAAGATGGCCAAGAATGTACATAAATGAGCGTTCTTCCGCAAAATTGAGTAAATTTATGCAAAAACTGAGTCAAACACGTGCTTAATAAACGACGGTTCGTAACAATAGTATTAGTAAATCGTTCTGGATAATTGAAATTCATAGGTTGGCTGCATTTCTGGGCCCTAACTTCATTCGCAGAAGCATCGGTGAAGGCCTGATGGACTTTCGGAGTTTCACATCTGTCCATACTCTCGCTATACAGGTACTCTAGTTGCAATGAAATCGCGATTTTATCGCCCGGCAAATTATCGCGATATCGTCACAACAAAAATCGCGATATACATGGCGATTTGATTGCGATATGCATGGCGATTTGATCGCAATTTTATTGAACAAAAAATTGCGATGCATAGCGATTTAATCGCCATAAATCTCAATTTTTTATTCGATAATAATGCGATAAATTGCCACCGATATAATCGCGATAATCAACCGATAAAATCGCTATTTATCGCGCTCACTGCTACTTGGGTGGAGGACTAGGCGCATAAGTACAGATTTTAAAAAATTGAGATATTAACGATTTCAAGTTTCAAGTAAAACTAATCTGAATGCATGTTCTGTAAAAAAATTCGCACCCAAATTCCAATTTTTAAGCACCCAAAAGTCAGTTTGAACTTTCTTTCCGCCGTATGCATCCATGTAATTTCGAAATTTCAGACTTAAATTTCGCAAAATGGCAGAAACTGCACTTGTTCGCCTTGTCCTCCAAGCCCCTCATTTCTTGTGCTGATCCCTGAAATGTACCGCGCTTTAAGCAGAAAGGAACCGAGCCACATCAGCTATTGCCAAATTTAATTGGGCATAAACTGCATTTAAGCGGGACTGCGGGAGAGGTAAGATAGCTGGTGCGGTAAAAACGCGCCTTCACTTGAACTGATGCAACCGAGTATATATGTATTGGTAAGTGCCGCCCATTGTTGTATGAGCTATAGATCGACGGTGGAACTACCAGCCCACGTACCTCGGTTTGCGACGTTGTAGACTTCCTGTTCTTCTTTATTTTTTAAATGGAAAACCACTCAATACAACGTTAGTAGGGTGTCTTGTATTTTTTTAATTTTGAAAAATCCTGATATTTTCCTGATTTTTCCTGAAATTTTATAAAAAATTCCTGATTTTTTCATTTTGAAAATTCCTGATATTTTTCTGATTTTTCTCGACTCCTGGCACGGTAGGCAAAGTATAGGTAGGCAAAGTAAGTAGTAAGACTTCCTCCATTGAGGAGATTCGCGTAAGAAAAATTCTTGATAAAACGTCCGATTTTTCCGATTTTCCTGATATTTTCCTAATTTTTTCCTGATCGGCCAAAATTCCTGATATTTTCCGGTTTTTCCTGATGCTAGACACCCTGGTTAGCTCTTGAAAACTTCCATGATTTTCTCTCCACGTGCAGAGAAAATTCTGTGAAAATTTCAAAGAATGATATTGATCTGGTCTTCTTCAAAAAAATAAAATATGAGCGGGTTTTTAAACACGACAAACGAGATACACGGTCTGGTAGTTTCACCGTCGACATATCTCTTGTTTGTTCTGTTTTATGGTGCCGCTGATGGCACCTACAGATTTTTCTATCACGAACAGCATAGAATATTCTTAGGCACACCATACAGGCATATCAATCGAACGTTCACCGAATTATTCCAGCACATGATAGCTTGTTGCCTACTCCACAATTTGCATGCAATTTGTAGACCGTTTAATTTTCTGTAAGCCTGGAACTGAATCTGAACTTGGAACATTCTACTCACAGCCAAGAAAATCCATTTTCCAACATTTTATAGCTGTACTTTACTGGACTCATCCTTTCAATGCAGAGGATGAAATAGTTGGGTCTACTAAATCATTCAGATTTTCTATTAAGGTCCCTAATGTTGGTTTCTCCAAACAAAAAAAAGAACTACTTCTTGCCTTTGTTTTTCTTATGGAAGAACTTTCAAACAAACGCTACTGGTTTCAGGGACAATCGGCTACGAGGATGCAAGTGGGGTTCGTCCCAACGAGGGAAATTTGTACGATTATTCGTCAGAGACATGCAAGCTACGAACGAGTGTGACAGGAATTACAACATCTAACGGCATTGCCTGGAGCCGGGACAATAGACACATGTATTATATCGACACCGGTACCAGTAGGATTGACGTCTTTGACTATGACATTGCCACGGGACATATCAGTGAGTATGCATAGAAATTCTTCAAGTATTTTGTACGCACGGTAAGGAATCTTGCACAAAACAATCGAAGAATAAACCAACCATTCTCAATCTCAATAAATTGCAAAACATCCAGAGTCATATCATTAGAATGAAAAACTTTTCAACCATGCTAAGGAAAAGCGCTGTATGAACCTTCAGGCATTTCCGAACTTCCTTCGTTAAAACACGAGCTTCCGGGTAAACCCATGGCCGGATTTATCTACTTGCCGCCCATGGGCCGCCTGTATTTTGCCGCCCTCCTCTCGTGCATTTTGAAACATCAATAAAAACCACCAAGTGAACGTGCCGGAGGGAGAAGGGTGCGTAAGACGCGTTCACTCGTGTTGGACACATTTTTTGCGTAAGCCCTGTCAACACTACTAGCAAAAGTTCACGGAACTTCGCGCGAAAGTTCAGTTCCGTAAACCTATCTCTGTGGGGACAAGGCCTTTCATTTGTAAGAAATTAACTAGAAAATTAAGAGAGAACAAACATAAATGTGGTTTAATTATTTTAACTTCCGCCGCCGTGCCGCGCTAACCACACTGTGTTTGGCGCAATGCGTGAAGTATTCATGTAGTCTTGTAGGCACTGTGCGTTTCACGCCGCGCCGACCGCTGTTGATCGTACTGTGTTTGACGCAATGCGTGAAGTAATCATGCAGTCTCATAGACGCTAATATGTGTTACATGCCGACCGCTGCGTCGAGGGCTTCTCCTTTTCATCTCAAGTCCTCATCATCATTTCTCTTTGCGCCGCGCCGCTCCAGGCCAAATTACGTGTTTGGTTTCTCTCTTAACTCAACTAATTAAAGGTGCGCAGTCTGTTTTATCACCGAAATACGAAAAAATTAGAAATTAATGAACTCTCAGGAAATGAGAGATTTTCTCACCTTTTCTTGTTTGTAATTTTTTTCTGAATCCGATTTTTTTGTACCTGCATTTGAAAAATTGCCCCCTTTAACCCCCTTAATCCGGCCCTGGGTAAACCTACATTTTTACAATTTTCCAGATAGTTTTGTTTGCAATTTCACCCTAAGTTCCTGAGAAGTTCAAGGAAATGTTTATAGCTTCACTTAAGATTAAAAATTTTATCAAAGGAGCAATTCTCGAATGTTCATACAGCGTTATTATTTGAGTACCTATTGTTTGAGTTCTGACTTCTACACTCGGTGGCAGAAAATTCAGACATACAAAAATCGTTAGATCAGACAGTACAGATGTTGATTTTTAACTTATTAATAAATGTTTATTTTTTCAAATTTGTAACATGAAAAAACAGACACCTAATTTTCCTTGCATCTTTTTTTACTTGTTTTAAAGGTAATCGAAGACCAGTTTTCGACCTGAAAGCGAATAATGTTCCTGGTTATCCAGATGGTATGACTATTGACACAGAGGGATACCTTTGGGTTGCTTGTTACCTTGGCTCAAGGGTGAGTTACTTCGACCAATCAAAAGTTTTAGAAAAATATTAGATTTACGAGTTAGATCATCCAATGAATATGTACCATTGTGTCAGTACCTACTAAAACGACAAGTTTTTTTTTAATTTTAAGAAACATTTTTGAAATTACTTATTCTTGTAATCTCGAACAGGGGTCGAAAATATCGAGGATCGCCGTTCTTGTGGAAAGCCCTCGATTTTTTCCCTTTCTTCTGCGTAATGCAAAAATTGCGACTAATGCTTTGAATTTAAAAATTTTGGAGGCCATCCATAGGTTTACATCAACCGTTTCCACACTTTTAGAAAACAGTGTGAAAACTGCCAAAATTTTAGTCGCTGCTTCAAATTTGTGTGGAACTCATTCCAAAATTAGTGTGGAAACCTCTCACAATTAACTCCCCCCAAAAAAAATGAAAAGAGAAAAAAAGTCATAACTTTTTGGGGAAAGGGTATAAATTGTGGAAGCTTTTGCTGCTACTACTGATGGGCCGATAATATGGAAAGCACAGACAATTAGAGGTGTCGTCAGCTAAGTTGACGGTTGTTTACTTTCGTTTTGCAAGCGCCAACGACGAATTTGGGCCTCTGAGCAAAGCGGCGTTCGCTACTATCCACATTGAAAACATCAGTCTCATGATCGTATTGTAAAAAAACTACTTATCAGTTATGATTTGCGACATCCTTGTGGTTGTGATTTCTGTGTGGCTAAAAATTAAAGTGTTACAAGGTTTGAAAGTATTAAAAAACTTATCTCAGCTTGTTTTCCTGCTTCTGAGAGAGCCAGATGTTTTCATGTGGACAATAAGGACGCGAAAACGCCTGCAAACCGAAAGTAAACAACCGTCAACTTAGCTGACGACACCTCTACATGAATTTTGAACTGCAAACGTACTTTAAAATTTATATTCAGTGACAAATTCTTCCTAAATTTTGACTTCAGGTGATCAAGGTTGACCCCCGAGATGGCCGTTTGAAACTGAGTATACATTTGCCCGTTGAAAAGGTTACTTCAGTAATGTTCGGTGGAGCAAATCTGGACATTCTCTACGTAACAACATCCAGGAGGGATCTAACACCTGCACAACTTACCCTACAACCTATGGCTGGTTCAGTTCTTGCTGTCACTCGTCTTGGCTCAAAAGGATGGCCTGCAAATAGTGCGGTTCTTTGCAACAAGTACTATGAACAGGGCAGCACCCCGAGCCTCACCAATAGTCAAACTTATTAGAGAGATGATCATTAACAAGTCAATTGGTTTTTGTCGTGGACCAACGATGCCAAACATTTCAAAAACTGCAAACTTCCTGATCAAAGTATGCTCTTTTACGTGATTATATGTCAATCTATTCTCTTGATAAAAGATACATTTCAGACTGGCATTGTAGGAGTGGTGCAGGACTCTTCGATCACCCTATATACTTATTTAAAAGAAAAATGAAGTCTTGATCCATAAAAAGATGATGCAGTCATTGATAAAGTACTTAGGTCAACTAAATTCGATGGCATTAAAAATGTGACAGACGATCCACTGTAAGATCAGCGGAAGATGAGCAGAGCATATTTCTCTCTGTTGTGTTGTGCATTGTTCATACACAGTCCAGTAATGGTGACGATGGCTCTTGAAACTGTACACAGTTTACCGTGAGTTGAGAAGAACGGCAGCACCGATTCTTTCCATAAATATCTCATGAATGGTAATATTAATAATATGACTATTATTCAATACTGTGATGATACAGTACTTGATAATGAAACAGTTCTACAATGTAAAAAAAAGGATCCTTTCAGGTCTTTGAAGAATTTCGAGAAAATATTTCAAAACAGAAATACATAAATTATTTTATATTTTATTTGTTTTGGTTTTTTTTTTTCAAAATTTATATAATGTACAGAGAAACTTTAATTATAAAGAAGGAATACTCAAGTTCTTAGTAACTATTGTAATGAGTAAAGTATCTTAGATTCTAATGGTAATGTGAACTTCTATGAATGTTTTTCAGAATTAACCAAGTATTTTTGATAAAACTTGTTAGAATTAAAATCACTGGAATAATTTTGTGTTAGGAAACAAAAACTTGGATTAAAAGTTTACCGTTCTTGAATTATAAAATTTTTAGAACCATTGCAAAAGTTTGGTTATTACTCGTGATGTTCTCAATTTCCCATGACGCAGCAATCAACACTTATCAAACCGCACACAATTTTAAGACCTATGAAAAGCTCTTGTACTACAACTAGGAGCAGATTGTTCCACTTATAGGAATTATAGAATCAGCATTTTGTACCGGGGCTGTGATATTATTGAAAATTGGACAACATTCCTTAAAAACCGAATTCTGCTAGCATATCTGGCACGATCAGCTTGTACCATAAATTGACAAATACACTGACCAGACAGGATGATGTCAAAAAGCACTTGAGTTTATTTCATGAACTTGTCCTTTTGTTCGGTGAGGATTTTAGCAGATGATTTGGCGTCTAAGAAAAGCTCGGACACTTCTTTCACATCGTCTTTCGTGATTGTGCTCCTTCCATTGACTTTGGCCGTCAGCGCACTCGGAGTTAGCAGTTGAACAGCATACCTGATCAGATGAACATTTTTTTAGAAAAAAGTTTCATTCTTATCTCCTCAGATTGGTGGAAAAGAAGGGGTATTGTAGACAGCAGGACTCTAACTCGCTTATTTCCATTCACAAGGTAATTCCATGAAGGGATACATGATCAGATGGTAAAGTCACAGGGCTTTCTTGGAGTATGATTCTGGGAGCACTTAAAGATTGAGGCTTGCGGGGTTAATTGAACGCACTAATGAAATTGAACTTCAGAAATGAGACTGAATACGAAAGTGCTTACGAATGCACTTACAATGGTCTGTATGAGTTACAGAACTGACAAGAGAATTTTGTCGACAATAGACAGCCTTGTCAAGAGAGATTCCTATACCTTCTGGACAAATTTGAGGAATCAGAATACTGAAGTCTTAATTTGTACGAACCACCCTTAACAACCAATGATTCTTACTATCACTGAGGTGAAACACCTAAATCTCACATTTTTTAGAAGAAAAAATAATTTTGCAAAATAAACCAACGGTTTTGTAGGGTTTTTTTTAAATAGAAAGATCACATTTCTATGAAATAAGACCTTTTTCTGTAAAGCAAGTCAGTGATTTGGCTTAAAAATTGAGATGGTCAATATTTTCAAACTTTTTCCGAACCTGCTAATAAATACATAAACAGTAGGAAATGACATGGAGTCATTCTGAATGTGGATGATAATGATACTTGAGAGCGCAACATTTAGAGTCAAAATACGAGGAGATTTAAAAAGAAGAGAGCTGTTTTTTCAGGCAGACAAAGGGCAACTTAGAAAAATTATGATAAATGTATGATAGTATGAAATATGTGAGAACACTGGTAACTTTCAGCACCAGTGAAAAACTACACATTTTTGAAAAGGAGCAAGAAAGGGAGAAAGAAACTAACCTTAGAGTAGTTTTCGACCCAACATCGGCAAGCTGCTGCAAGGCCTCAGGATCTAGAGACAGTCCTTCAGTCTGTGCCCTTAATTTCAGGATATTTTCCATGTTTGTACGGTTGTACGGGGTCGTCCTGATGATAAGCAATCTGTCTAGAAGATCTAATGGTATACCATGAGGAGAGATAATATCTTCAGTTCCTCTGCAAAATGGAAACAAATAAAAAAAATAAGCATGAGATTGTTTTAAAAGCATACAAATGGTCAGCTGAGATGAAAATTTAAGTTACAAAGTATTATCAAAGTAAGGTGTTTCTTAAGGCGACTAAATTAAGTACAAAAATAATTTCCAAAAAAGCTAATTTCTATTCATAAATGTTCTCTGTAAAGCAGTTTCAATTAAGTCATGTCTATTTATTAATGTTTCCACCAAGAGAAAAACAATTCTGCAGACAAGAGAATAGGGTTGCCGTCATGAAAATTAAAATGAAAACAACGTTTTTTGATCAATGAAGATTGGTTTGATTGATAAAGCATCATGCATTTTGTGCTGTGTTACAAAAAATATGAAGCTACATATTTCAATGAAATTGCATTAAGTCCTAACCAAAAGTCCAGCCAAATGATCTTATTGTTTACAGAGAAACCAAGCATAAGGCACGAGATTTGATGGTTGAATCATGCTGAAATCGCAGCAATACATCTCAAAGCAGCTGAAACTTACCAATACAGAATTTTAAACCAATTCTAGGTGCAAACAAGCCTAAGAAATATTGATAGCCTCGGTACAAAACCACAAGAAATAAAGTATGAAAGGAAGTCTGTAATGTCGCAAACGGTAATACAGGGTTTCTCACTGTGGCCATCAATATTGAGCCTGCATGTTGGCTGTGGCCCTCAAAATTTAAAACAACCAATATATGAGTTTTTGATTCATAAAGAACACCAGGAAACTAGTCTCAGACTTACTGACTACATCTCAGTGCTGGGTATTTCCTCAACGTTTGCTACTCTTTTCTGAGACTCAGCTAAACAATTGCACACAATTTCTATCATAAAACAAATAATCATAATCTGCTCTTGTTGAACGATATCCTCCAAACATGCACAAAAATCAAACTTTGAGATTTTTCTCTATAGATCAGGAAATGAAAATGAGTGGTGTATTACCTAATGGTGCATCTTCCTCTATTTGTTGCAAAAATTACAATAGGGGCGATTGCCGATTCCAAGGCTCTATGAAGGTAAGTAAATGTTTCAATATCTAACATGTGGACTTCATCAATGAACAAAACTCCCGGAACTAATTCTGCAATACCTTGGTCGATGTACTTGTTTACTATTTTATTGATTTCTTTCCGTAACTTATCTGAAATATACAAAAATGTAAGAGTAAGTCATCAGTAAAAATTTTGAAAAAAATCTAAGTTATAAAAGTACAAGGTAGAAGAACAAAAGAACGCAATAAAGCATTTCCATTAGCAATTATTATACGGAGTAAAATTTTCTCAGACTGTGCAGTGCCTTTTGGTATCCTTATTTGCAATCAATCGGATAGAAAAATAGCTAGGATTAAGGTCTAGATCCTTCTCAGCTGCAAACTAGTAATTCACCAAAAAATAAGGCCGCAGACCATCACCTGAAATCGTAACTCTTTTTTTTTTGCTCCATGCATATCAATGACTGCTTCTTTTTACTGAAAATAGGTTTGACAATCCGTTAAAATTTTACAGGTCAATCACAGCGAACAATATTTCCTTCCATCGATTAGAACAATGTTCTGTTTCAGGTCCATGTACTTAGTAAGATTTCTTACAGGCCTTTGTGAATCGCCTGATATTGGCCTGTAGGTAACCAATTTCAAACTGATGAAGTAGGAGCTCTTAAGATCAGGAATAAAAATTCGTCAATAAGTACCGAAATTTTTAAGAGGCAATTTCGTGTGCAGGTGATTTTAAATGATACTCACACATCTACTGTTGGAGACCAACAACGTTTTGCCTGAGTCATGAAGATCACGTAATTACTGACAAAATGATTAACATTTCATTACCAGAAGTTAGCTGAAGCTGTTAATACCGTGTCTCGGACTATCAAATTTGACAAGAACATTAGGAGTCTAGAGGGAAAATATCACTAAGAATGCGGTTGATGATTACCTGTAATTTCTGTCTTTTTGGACTTCATAAGCTGCCCCATCATGGAAAGGATATCTTGGCCTCCCTGAGGTCGCGCATTTGCAACATCTAAATCGTGTAAAGTTACATCTTGGATGACTTCTTTTTTCTTGTGAACATCGCCTTTTGGGAGTGGCACATACTCTTCAGCCTGTGAAAAAATAGAGAGACAAATAATTTTTTTAATAAGTCTAAAAGTCTAAACACAAGCTTTTTGTCTTCATCTAGTGGTTTGTTGGCTTGTCCTGCGGTGCGTTTACATTGTGTTTGCAAACGACAAGATTGAGAATGCCACCTGTGGATTTGCTGTGGAACTTATCTTGAAACTATAACCGCAACTTTTTGGTGACTTAAGTGCTGTTAAGGCACATCAAATGGGTGTATCAAAACTACTGATAGACTTTTCTCAAATAATTGAGCTTCTTAAAGAACAATACAAGATTAGACATCTATAAAAACCTGTACTTATCAACAATAATTTCACTCTTTTTCACACTGGTCTCCTGTAAAAAATAATTTTTTCAGCTTCAGCTTGAGATTTACACCAACCTTTTGAATACTAAATAATTACGGTTGCCGCAGAATTTTAAAAAAATGTATTTTCCTCACATTTCCCTGACACATTTTGATGAAATTCTCTGACAATTGGCCATATGGCAAATGTTTAAAAAGGGACAACTTGAAATAGTTTTCAGGTGAAATGGAGATTTTGTGGGTGCCTGAAATTTTAAAAATTTCATGTTTAAAACGAAACTGCTCAGAGAACTGAGCACAAGGATCTTTTTGGTTTCTAAATTGAACAGTTATTGGAGGAAATATGACAAAATAACCTAATCTGCTAAAATACATGTGTTTGAATGAGAAATGCTGCCAGCTGAAGTCACAAGGCGGCAGATTTTCTCATTTTTGAATATATTTGTCTGCAATGTCCCTTTTCAGAAAAAAATATGAAAAATACTACAAACTCAGATCATTAAACACTCATAGACGAAGCAATAAATTTTTGCGTGCAAATTCTCTATTTGTTCTTCAAAATGTGAAACTTATTCTGGTAGGCGAATAAGGTGACCTACAATTTTTTCTGACACTCTTGTCATTTTCCCTAAAATTTTTAGGATTTCCCTGACTTTTTAAAAATCCCCCATACTTCAAAGTATTCCATGATGGTGGCAGCCCTATAATTATAGCCATTGGCGGATCCAGCAAACTGGCAACCTATGGACATGTGTCGATTCTTGAAGGGGCCAGGTGCTCCGACAAGAATCGATTATTTAACATAAGATTGAATGGAGGAAATCCTGTGTTGCCAAATTGCTGGATCCGCCCCTGATTATAGCTGCCTTGAAAAATACACATTTTGAAATGATAGAAAGTACAAACCTCGAGATCAAATTCAGATGCAAAGGTATCACTTCTGCCTTGCCGTTTGACAGCTCCACTGTTTGCTTCGATGTAAATCACATCACCCACTTCAACCTTTTCCTTCTGTAAAGACTCATGAACTGAAGGGTCCAGCTTCAACTGCTTGGATCCTTTCGCTGTTTTCAGTCCAATGATGACATGAGAAACTGTTTTACCGTACCCTAAAATGAAAAAAAAGCAGACGGACAAATAAATGAATTTTCCAAGGGTAAACTTTTGATATTTTTTTCTGAAATTTTCAGTGTGATGTTTTTTTGGAGAATACTGTTCCTGCACCATGAAACAATTTAATATTTAATTCCTGTACTCTAAGCTGCAGTTTTGAAATAGCCTGCCTAGGAATGAGTCCACTAACCTCACATGTTTGAAGATCTCCCAAGAGAATCTGAACACAATAGACATTATTCAGTGGCGTGGCGTGCTTTGCGAGATATCGATTGTTCTGTCATTTAAACCTATGGTAAAGAATCAATTATTAAGGTGTTTGGTGCAAACACCCTGATTATCAATCCTTTTCCATGGGTTTAAATGGCATAACAATCGATATGTTGCAAAGCATGCCACGCCACTGACACTATTGGACCTGTATCACAGAGATACTGCATTCTTGAAGTTCAACGATTTGTGGTTTCTAGTTCTGCAGTGCAATGATTATAATATTTTAGAGTTAAACACATGGTGTCAACAGGGCAGTCAACTAGAATAAAACTTTTTCATATTTTCGACCTATTTTAATCGACAGTACACAAGGATGCAAAATTTCATAAAATAAGATCATAAAATTTCACGTAAAGCAGAAAGTGTTATCAAGTTAACTTCTACATATTTATTCTTATTTCACACTAACAAGAGGAATAAAATAATATTAAACAGCACGTTAAAAAGAGGATTTTGGCATTGATGGGTATTTTTGAGATCTGGTTGTATCTAGTCAGTGAAATATTTTGTATTTTTTATGAATTTCAATCTCTTTAAATTGTGCGAAAATATTACACCAAAATTTTCTATCCTCCATATATTTGGCTGTGTTTGTGACGCATCTGTACTGATGATAATGTAATAATTCCATGAAGGCAGGTTTATGTCATTGTTTGGATCAATGATATCTTGAAAAAGAGCATCTATCATCATTGCCAATCAAAATGAATCCATCAAACTTACCGCCCATTGGATTTTCTGTTTCAACCGGAGTGAGCTCTGTGACCTCTCCCTCATAAACCTCTTTTGTTTCTTTGATTCGCAATCCAATTGCACGGCGGAAATTTTCCATCAACACTTCAGTCTTCTTAATTTCTGAACTGTACACTTCTGAGCCAACCATTGGACAGAAAGGAACCTGCAATACATTTGACAAAAATGAAAAAAATGTAGCAACTTAGGGCGTAAAAATTGTTAGAAAAATACAAAACTGCAGTTGCCATAACTGCATGGAGCCAAGTGATAGGGACACATCTCAAATCGACTTTTTTAGTGAGAATGCAACTGATTAGCAGATAAGTAGCTTAAATTTAAGGTAGGGAACCTGGGTTTTCGATTAAAACATTGAAGACTTGTGTCAAATTACCATAATTTACATCTGTTGAGCTTAGTTTTAGGCCTTGTGTGGAGAAAATATTTTCCTTTCACATCTACAGCATTAGGTCCACAAAGTTTGATGGTTTGAAACCAAAAAACCATATTCAGCAAACCAGATGTAGAGAGTATGGCTACAGCATTTCATGGAGTCATGAGAGGTCTTTGGGTGCTTCTCATTTTTCTTCCTGATTCCACAACACGTACCCTCTACCCATTTGCTTGAAACTGCAAAAACGCATATCTTGGTTCGCAACACCACAGACTTCCTGTAATGATTTATTATTTGAATAGAAAAATACTCAACATCGATTCTTGAAAAATTACCGGGATTTTGCTTTCCGTAAGAATATTCTTTGAAAATTTTCAGTGAAAAGGCTGGTTTTTCCTCCTTTGATACAATAGAATAAGAGCGGAGACTTTGAAACACCGTAAACAAGATATGCGTTTATGCTGTTTCACCATCAATATGCGTCCCTAGCTAACAATTACGTAAATGAATCTAAACTATTCCACTGACGTCTCCTTTCAAATTTTCTGATAGGGATCAGCCTCCCTTCCTTAAATCCAGTCAAGTAGGTAAAGCTCATGGAGCAAAGAGGCTTCAACATATTTGATGCATTTCTGACAAAAATTATAAGGGTGGGGGAGGGAGAGCAGCAAGAAAGTACTGAGTTTACTGCATCTACTTTCTTTTATAAAAAAAAACTGACTAAAAACTAAGCAAATGATGTAAGCTGTACTCACTTTGTTGCCGAGATCTTGGGCAATGGCTAACGCAATAGCAGTTTTACCAGTTCCTGGCGGTCCAGCCATGAGAATCGCTCTGCCTGCCATCTTTTTGGACTTGATCATATCTACCACAATACCTGCTGCCTGTAAAATTCAAGAAAATGTTATTCTGATGCTTTGCAAAAAACTATTTAAAAGTAATTTCATTTTAACATTTTAGAAACTGTGATAAATTTTTTTGAAATTTCTGAAACTTCTCTTGTTTCATTGAAACATCGTTATAAGGTCAGCAATGAAAGCAAAAATTATTCAGTTCGACAGTGAAAATTACCAGACCGCACACCTCCTTTGCAATGTCAGAAAATCTTCACTCCCATTTTATTTAATGGAAGGAGCGCAAATCAATATCATTTCTTGAAATTCTCACAGAGTTTTCTTCACACAGAAAAACGAGAAAATGGAAGTTTTCAAGAATTGACATTGAATGGTTTTCCATTTGCAAAATAAAGTATATAGGAAGTCTACAACGCCGAAAACCGAGATACATGGTCTGGTAGTTTTACTGTCAGGTTGCTTTCAGTTTATTCCTAAATCATGAGAAAACTTCTGTGCTAAACTACATCCTTCTAAATTCCAAAGGGAAGATTTTCACAATGAAAGGAAGCAATCATCATCTTTCAGACGCTGTGGGTCTTTGGTCTTAGAGATAAAACTCCAAAAAACTTGATTTCCGAGAGGGAAACTCAGAGAAAGAAGTTTCAGTAAAGGAGGCAGTTTGTTTAGAACAAACTGATTCCATTATCTCTGACATTGTCAGACTACTTCTTCCAAATAGTTAAATTCAATACATAGTCTCGTTGTTTTGTGATATGAACTGGTAGCTGTCAACTTCCTGTTCGAAAGCAGCAGCGCGATCTCAGCCACACGGTTGATGAGAATCGACCAACGGTGGCACTGCTACCATGGGCAGGGATATAATACAGTCTACTTCATAGTACGATATGAAGCAGTACTTTATTAGTTAACGAATTAGTCCGTAGAAACACTGACATGTTTCCTAGGTTCCCGAAGCAGTTGCGGTTGAAAGAGACGCGCAATCCTAACCTAACTTCAGAAACAAGGAAGCTCGTACATTTGAAGCTTGGCTGAGAAAGCAAACCCGTGATAATCTTGTGCTCTGTCTAAAACTGATACGAAACAAAAAATTATAATGAACTGTTAAGCCACCAGATGATATTTACCTCACGAGCTGATTCTTGCCCAACCAGCCCGGCTGCAATCGGGATAGCGATTCCATTCTCATTCAGTCCGAGACCTTTGACGTGACTGTGACTAGAAATCCGCTGAGTTTTGACAGTGCTTTTCACTTCTTCAATCTTCATTTTGGACTGATCACTTTTTAAAACATTCAAACAAACAAAATTGAAAACTACGAGGCGGAAAAATTGTAAACAAACGAAACCGCGTGCTTGGTAACGGTTCTGAGTTAAAGTTCCTTGTCGAACAGCGGATTCTTTGGATATTCCTTGTTGTGCAATAACGAAGGAACGGAACCGCGCGTTTTTTGAAATTGCGCGCTTCTTTTTGAATTTACGGACTTCTTCCGGACGAGCGCTTACTCATATATTGGATAAGAGACCGACGTTTTGATCGAATTCGGATGCTTTAGAGTTATTTTTTTGTTTACAAGGGTGAGAAATATATATCCCGTCACTCGAATATTGCTTTAAAATTACCAGGCAAAGTTCCCACTTTGCGCAAGTCGTGTAAAAAAGGAATAGGAATGAAGCGGAAAGCGGAAATTAACTATTTTACGGTTCTTTTAAATTCCAGTTTCAATGACTACCAATTTTTTTCTACGCTCTCTTCTTTATCACATCTTAATTTGCTGCGATGCGCAACTTTCGTAGTAAGATATACTCAGAGATTTGCAGCACATCCGCATTTTCTCGCACAGTGTTGCCATAGCAACGGGGAACTTGTTTTCAACACGTGGTGTTTTGTTGATTTTCACAATCGGCTCGACTCGATTGAACTTCATGATGTGATGAAGGCTTGTGATGGATTTTATTATTTTTGTGCCTTTCGCGTGTTTTTTATCATCCCGATTAGCCGATCGAGCAATTGTATCCAATATGAATACTATAAGATAGCGGTTCAGTTGAACCTCAATACAGGAGGAACAACAATTCAATAGTGTCAAGCAATAACCATAAGTCAAAGGTAACTGTGGGAAGAAATCAAATTACCCAGCAATCATGAAGCGAATAGTCTGTGCTCGGAAATCTACTTTGAAGTTGATGGCTGTAAGTGTTTTTTTTCTGCTGAAACCCCTCTTTTAAAATATTATTCAAATTCAGGAAATCGCATGGAAATCATTTATCTCATTGCGATCGCTTCATCGCATGAGCATCTATTTGATAGACTCTAACATTTTAAACATTTTATTTCTCTTAAATATAGTTGTTGATTGAAAAATCTAGCTAAACGAGCTTTAAATCAACGACTATGTTCTATACACTGGAAAAAAAAAGAATCTTAAATTTGCCGCCAAGAAGTATTTCTTCTTAAATCAAGAATTTTTCTGGTTAATATAAGCTACTTTCTTGCTTAACCCAAGCATTATTTTTCTTGTATCAAGAAAAAATCAGCTTAAAGCAAGAAAAAAAGTTTCTTGGCGGCAAATTCAAGAATCATCATGCTTGATCCAAGCTACTTTTTTTCAGTGTACAGCTAATCCAGCACGGAAAAAAATTAAATTGCTGATTCAACAATTTGATTGCTAAAAACAGTGAGTGCAATGTTTCAATGTAGATTTTACAACAAAAAAATGCTACTTTAACCACCTCCGTGGTTGAATTAGTTTACAATGTGGTTAGAGTAGCATTTTTTTGTTGTAAAATCTACGTTGAAACATTTCACTCACTGTTTTTAGCAATTGAATTGTTGAATCAGCAATTTATTTTTTTCCGTGTAGCCAAATTTGGCAATAAAATGTATTTTTTTTAAATATAGAATTTCAAAACAATTCTTACATATTATGTTTTAAAAAATAGAGCTATTGAAAATGTCCATCTTTCAGGGTGAATGATTTTGCAGAAGGCAAATAAAAGATGCAAGTGATTTTTATGAAAAATATGTAATATTATTGAGACGATCAGCCAAGACTTAAAAAGGTTTATGCTTGGGCCCTTTTAGAAGCGAGGAGTTTGGGTAGATGGGCGGGGCTCCTGAATTTGGATCCCAAGTACCGAAAAGTCGTAAATATTTTATTCATACATCTGCTCTGATATATATTTAAAAAACATACATGTAGTATTTAAATATCTATAAATATTTTTTTTTGAAAATTTCAGGCGAACAACTTTTTTCAAAGAGGTGGGCGGCGGGTCTGAGTTTTTCGTTATTCCTTCTATACTGCCGTGCCAAGGAAGAAACGCCGCACAGTGGATCGAGTAAATTAGAGTGGTCCGACATGAAATTTTTTACTAAAACTGCATATTTTGATGTTTATTTTGTCACATTTCAAATTTCAAGGGGTGCTGTTGGAAGAAAATTTTACGAGGAAACCAATTAAATCACTCTTAGAACCTCAAATTTGTGTATAAATGGAGTTATGAGCGTCTAAAGTTTCTACATTTTGTCCGACCTCTCCTATTGACTTGATCCACTGTGCGCCGTATGAACCTTCGGATGTGGCCAAATTTCTTTTGATAAAACGCAAATTACCTGGTAAATTTATAAATATTTTCCTCCCGATTTTTCAGATGATTTAGTTCGCAATTTTATCTGAAGATTCTGAAACGTTAAAGGAAAACTATTCATAACTTTCCTAAAAAATGAACATTTTATCGAAGGAAATTTGACAACTCTCGAATGTTCATACGGCGTGTTACCTCAGCACGACAGTATAAATGTCCAGGTATTTCTCTACCTTCATACTTTTTCAGGCATTGAAAACAGCTGGAGAAAAGCATCTATCATCTTCAAAGGAGGACAATCTTGCGCAAGAATTGGAGTCCGAGTACAATCAGCTTGTCGATCACTACGAGAAAGTAAGTACCAAGATCTCAAAACATTATGATCGTCCACGGGAAAAGAGACTTCAGTAACGAAAAATTCATAATTTAGATCTTTGCACCCTCGCCTTGAGGATAGTTTTACGAATATTTTTCCACAGAAAATGTTCAAAATTTGTCCGTCAAATTGAGAGAGGTTTGAAGTTTAGTGTTGCAAAAATAGTTTTTCTATGAAGCTAAGGAACGTCTCAATATTTCATAGACAGACCTCAAAATTTCATATTATATTACAACTTTATACCCCCTTTTGGGTACCTTTTTCTCCGCCATCTCTTGCAATAGTTTAATAATGATGAATTTTCGACATAGAGTTTTATGTATATGCCGTATGTATGTACATATGGATGCATTAAAAAATATATATATCCAAAAAGTTTTTCAGACTCATCAGCGTCCGTGCAGTGGATAATTTGCAGGTGTCTGAAATTTGATAAATTTCGTATTTAAGTGAAAACTACTGAGTGAAGTGAACGCGAGGATACCCTTGGTTCATAAATTCAATCGGAGGAGATATGGCAAAATAATTTACTTTGCTAAGATACATGTGTTTAAATGGAAAATGCCGCCAGATTATATCACCAGCTGCGGTGCATTTTTTCTCTTTTAAACATATTTTTAAACTATTTTCCACATCAGCAAGAATCCTAAAAATACTGCATAATCAGCTCTTTAAGCACTCTCAGATGAAACAATAAAAAAATTACGTGTAAATTCTCCACTCGAAAGACTGAACTTTTTTTTTCAATCTCTACTGACAAACATGTTTCAAGAGTTTTTCCCTCTCTTTTTTTTTCTCTTCTACTAGACGGTCGAGAGTTTAAGAGGCAACAAGACGACCGCTCAGTACGAGTCAGACTTCACGATGTTTTGGAACTTCATCACGAAGGCACACGATCACCAGAAACGGCTGTGGATGAAGTGCAAGGACTTACAGCATCTTGCATCTCTGAATTCGAATAAACTCTCGAGTGCCTTGAAGAACGCTCAATCTGGGCAAGAGTCTGTCGAAGAGTTGAAGAAGGTAATCGTTACCTTGACAAGACCCTCAGACCCAAGTAACTCAGATCGCAATACCGCCTAACTAAGGAAAAACGTCATATGAACCTTCAGGCGTTGCCGAATTTCCTTGAATAAAACACGAATTTCCTGGTAAACGTATAAAAATCATTTTTCTAATTTTTCCCATAAATTTGTTCGCAATTTCACCTTATGTTCCTGAAATTTCGAGGAAAATTGTCTATAACTTCTCCCAAAATAAACCATCTATCAAAGGAAGTTTTACAGCTCTCAAGTGTTCATACGACGTTCTTCCTTCAGCACGGCAGAATAAAGTGCGATTACACGGTAACGTTATGAAAGTATTGCTACCGAATCGGAGTGTTGTGTATGTTGCCTATCTACAGGAGCACTTCGTATTGAAATTTATTACAGTACAATTAAAAAAAGTTGCAATTTTGCTTATTGCTTTGCAAATTTCCTAACCATCTGACACATTTAACTCATTTTGTTGATTGTTTAAATGCGACATTTATTGACCAAGTGGTCTAAAAATATTGCAATTTCATCCGGAGTGGGTATGTTATGTGGTATCATGCGAAAATGGAGAAAAATCTTACCTTTTCAGTCTCAAATTACTGAAGTTTATGGATGTGGACTTATGCTACCATCGTTAAAAGCGGAATTCAAGCGCGCAACTACTCAATCACCGAAGTAGGTATGTGATGTGGTATCACGCAAAAATGAAGGATAATCTTACCTCTCCGCCTGTCTCAAATTGCTGACGTTTCTGACTGTAGCAGAGGCGAGGCGAGAATGGTCGATTTTCGATATTCCCCCATTTGAAGCTATGGTAAAGAATCGATTATGAAGGTGTTCGTTGCGAATACCCTATTAATCGATCATTTTCGTAGGTTTAAATGGTGGATCAATCGATATATCGCAAAGTACGCCACGCTACTGAACTGTAGACATTATTTGTCATCATGTGACTGTAGACATGAGCCCTGAGATCCAAAAGAACACATACATGACCGGGCTCATATCACAATGGACATAGTCCCTTTTGATTTAAATGCGTATTATTTATGTCAGGCATTGGAGGCAGCTTGGCTGACGGTAGACACAACGAATGCCAGAGAACAAGTGGCCCAAGAAACTATCGAAGCCTTACGACTACAAGTTGGGAAACTCAAATCAGAGCTGGATATGAAAAACAGAATGCTTCAGTCTGAAACAGAGTGAGTCTGAACCGAGTTTTTGGTTATACTGGCGGTCTTCCTCGAGAGAGAGAACCAAGTGACATCAGATGTTGCCAACATTCACCGGACGGTTTTAATGATAAGACAGTTCTGCTGATGTTCTCGGAAAATGTAGATAATTTACTTCATCTCACATTGTAATTCCCTGAAATTTTGGGGAGATTTGGCACTATTATCTCGTGTAAAACAGAAATTATCCTATGAAAATTGGCAGTAGGTGATGTCACTTGGTTTCCTTTTCAAGGCCCACCGTCTATAAATTTATTTTACATTAAACGTGGAGATTTGGCATTGGAACAAGTTAAATTATTGGGCAGAAAAAACATTTGGACCGCGTTTAGCAGAAAGGAACCAAACTACATCAGCTATTGCTTGATTTAACTGGGCAGTTTAATTTTTTACATGAAAACAATTGAGCGGGTTTTCATACAAATTTTAGTAAATTTCCTGCATAGTGCGAGGTAAATTCAGTAAAATGTTCGAAGGAATCCGCACAAATGTTCACTTGTTAATATTTAAGTCGCCCAATTAAATGCGGCAATAGCTGATGTGACTTGGTTCCTTTCTGCTTAACGCGGTCCATTCAACCATAAAGAAACGACGGGGTCGCTGGTGCAACTGACATTTTAAGAAGTTAGTCTTCCAACAATAGTTTTCTCGCGGGTGTATAGTAACACATTTCTCGAGGAGGAGCAAAGGCTTAGAAGTAAAACATTCTTGAAAATATCCTCAATGGAAAACATCACAGGATGTTGCAACGCAACACCTACATCGTTCTGCTGTAAGCGTCAACATCCAAAACGCCTTCATGTTTGTGCGTATGCAACGCGGACATCCGAAGAACACGAATAGATGCATCCAGGCGCTGTTATTCCCATCACACTTAAGGGACTGTAGCTTTAGAGACTCATTTCAGAAACGACATAGCTACGCTATTTCCTTACGCTGGCAGAGGTTTTTTGATCAACTTCCATTCCCTTTTTTTTTTAAACGTTATGAGTAATTTCGATTGAAGGTCGTCCCTCTTAGTTAGGGATCAAAGTTTCCTGGATGTTCCCGGTGGCTCTTCGAAGTATGACTGATTACCGCGTACAAAATGAGTGGGTGTGTGCATGTATGTTTCTCTGTCATAGTGTCCCGAGAAGGTAGATTTGGACCGAGTTTATCAGAAAAGAACCAACCCACAGTTTCGAAAAAATTAAGTTAAGATTATTTTTGAGTTTCAGTAGTCGTATATTTTCTCCTGCCAAAATGGAGAGATAAGGAGTTTTTTTTGGTGATTTATGTTTCTGTGCGATGTTTCAGCGGTCCGGCGATGAAGAATAAGGAGATGTTGGCCAGGGAAAAAGAACGGTCCCAAACTGAAGTCATGAATCTGAAGCAGAAACTCGAAGTCATCAAAAGTCAACAGGCAGAGTTAGAATCGAAGAAAACCAGCACGGAAAACAAAGTCCAAGAACTTCTCGTGGATATCGAGGTATTCGACCGAGTATTACACAAAATTAAACTCTGGCAATGGTTTTGTGAGCAGGCTACGCTACATATGAGGCCGGAGTCAAAGGATGATTCAAATAATTATCTGTTTAGTTTATTTGAGTGTCATACCTGGTTGGAAAACAAAACTATTTTAATGTTATTAAAATCATGTCATTAAAACCGAGTACCTATATGACATAAATGATAAGATAGTCTGAATAATAATACGACCTTTGATTGATTGATTGATTGATTACCGTGGTAAAAATTGGCGATAAAAGCTGCGTTTCAAAATACCATAAGAATTATATTTACACGTTATACTTTCCTTTAATACATATTTTTTTTCATCAATTAAAATGAGAATAGTCCATACAGAGTGTGCAAACATTTCAAAATCATGAGTTGAATAACGCTGACTCCGCCAGATTAAATATTAGAGCCTAACACAGAGCGGAGCGGCGACGCACTGGCGCCTACAAACCTAACAGGGATACTTCACGCATTGCGCAACGCGTGAAGTATCCCTGTTAGGTTTGTAGGCGCCAATGCGCGTTTCGCGCTGGCTGCCCGCCTGCCGCACCGCAGCGTGCCACGGCGCTTGAAGCAACTATTTCACACCAGAGGTATTGCACAGTATCATACGAAACTGAAGGCACTCTAATATATTAGGAATGGCAGGCATCCATCAAAAGTACGGAGCTTTCCTCGCAAAATAAATCAAGATACTACGGCCAAAAAAGAGAGCAGTAGTCCAAAAACTCACTAAGTCCTAGCATCCGTAATTAGTGACGTTTAGCATACACTTTATCGCCTGGCTGTGACTTGCTTAATCGCCATCGGCTATAAAAGGCTATAAGAAATTGTGTAGCCGGCTACAGAAGCTATTGGAAATCTTACAGCCGGCCGTGGGTCTATGGTATTTTGGAAGACAGATCCTACTGCCAATTTTTACCAGGGTATTTATCTTACATAAAGTAATAATGTGTTATTATTCTGTAGTTTAAGTGAGTCTCCGCATAGAATGCTTAAAACTCGATTGCTAAAGTGTGTAACCGCGTACTTCCGTTTGCAACGTTGCAGACTTCCTGTCACACTTACTTTTTTCTTCGGAAAACTAGTCAACCTACTTTTTTGAAAAGTGCCTTTATTTTTCTTCACAGCCAGCAGAATATTCCGCATTTTGGCCTGTTTTACCCCATAAAAATAAAACAGTAACGCGGAAATTCTGATACTCCGCGAAGGAGATACGTGTCTTCGTACTTGGGCCATCGAACTACTCTCAAATTCAAGAAAAATTTCTGCATATGTTGTGTGAAGCATTCTCAAGGCCTTCATTTTCGGATTTAATTTTTTTAACATATTTTTTTAAATTTGCCGAAAGCTGTACCTAATGCATTCTTATGCATTATGTAAAGTAACGCAATTTTTATTACTTTTCACTTAAAGTTCCGTTCTTATGACATCATTGCGCATTCGCCTGTCAAAAATCGTTCGAGTAGAATAAAATTTTGTTTCTCTTTTTTTTTGCTAATCTATAGAACAAAGACTCGGAGCTGGCGAGGGAAGTGCGGTTGAGGCAGGGCGTGGAGGAAGAACTGAAAAAAGCCAACAAAAAAATCTTAACACTCAATGATGAAGTCACGCAGCTCAACTCACAATTAGAACTGACGAAAAAGGCGGTGGCGGAAATCGAGACGAATCTGAAGCAAGTGACGGTAAGATTTTTTTTGCAGAAAACCGCTTGTACCCGAGAAGAAACAAGTTGAAATTATTGCAATGGACCACTAGACAAGGTACGAATTAAAGGATTCTGATACATGTTTCTTAACCAAAATTTCACGCAAAACACGATTCGCGCAACGAAAATGACTGAAACAAACTCCTAAGGAAGATATTAACGTTTTTATCTTACATTGGTCACGAAGAATTTAAACTGTCCGCTGACAAGAAACTCAAAGCTCTACTTGAGTCAAGTCGCGCACTGCAACGGTTTCAGCAAGCCTCTCAATCGAGCAATGTTCATTTCCCACCATTTGTTTTTCAAACTATAAATAATTTGCTATAGCTGAGCCAAAGCGTCAAGATTGAGGTTACCAGATTTTTATGTCGCAGAGACTGTCATGATAAACGCTTAGCGCGCGATGTGAATCACGTAGAGCATCGAGTTTTTCATGAGCGGGTGGTTTGAATTCACGCATCAAAAGTATTGAATATCTTCGTAAGGAGTTGATTTCGGTAATTTTCGTTGTGCGCATCGTGTTTTACGTGAAATTTTGGTTAAGACGCATGTATCAGAATGCTGAAATTCGTACCTTGTCTAGTGGTCCATTATACGTATTAAAATTATTGCCACTGCATCGAAGTGTTGTGTATGTTGCCTATCTACTATCAGAAGGGGCTACTCTCATTGACATTCTTTGCAAGAAAATTGAAATAAGTTGCAATGTATCTTTGTATTGTAGATTTTCTACCTCTCTGATACATGGACCTCATCCTACTGATCGTGTAATATCGGCGTCTAATGACCAAATGATATGAAAACATTGAAGTTCCATGGTAAAAAACATTTCAATTTTATTTCAATTTTGCATTACCCTGTGCCTCTAGGACATGATACACGGTTGGATGTCGATTAACTAATTCGAACCACGCACGGTGTTTTTCACGGTGTTTTCCACGGTGTTTTTCACGGTGTTTATAAGAATTTTTCTATTTTTTTTCAGGCAATAAACGAGCATATCGTGCAAAAGAACGAAGCATTATCGACATCCCTAATCAAGGCCCAGACAGACTTGCAGAATAAGTCGGTTAGCCACGACGCAGCCAATCAGCGCATCGCTGCGCTGGTCACACAAATGAAGGTAATTTGAACTTATCCATGCATTATCAACAACATAACTGATGAGGACACTCGTGGGCCGATCAAGTGATTTTGAAAAATTTGTTTGACTTTTAAAGTCAGCTTCGGCACAGTGTCGTGATAAAATCCCAATATCTAAAGAGGAGTTTGTGAAATACCATTTCAAAATTGGGAGGAGATTCATTTTTTTTTTTTTTTTTTTTTTTTTTTTTTTTTTTTTTTTTTTTTATTAAGGTTTACTGAGCCTTCTCATTTATCGATAAAAAGTACCTATACTCATAATTTTTCTTATAACCCCACAGTTTTAGATTTTTTGTAAAAAAATAAACGAATATAAATACTCTAATGCGAAAAATGGCAACGCCCAAATTTAAGTAACCGGACCATCCCTCTGGAGACAACCAGGGACCTCTCTCTAATGAGGATTTCACACTTTTGACCCTTAGGTGGAGGCCAGCACCATTTTACCACCTTATTACTTACAGTTCGGGTCATTTTTAAGTGGTTTTTTTTTCGTATATCTCTACGTGGGGAGTTTCTAAAACATCCTGTCTCTGTTTTCGATGAGATGTTGGACGAAGATCTGCGGAAGGTGAACGGGGAGCTGCGAAAGACGAACAAGATGCGCGACACTTTTCAACGGCGGATCCAGGAGTCGGAAGCGAAGAACAACCTCCTCGTGCAGGACAGAGAGAGACTCCGGCTGAGGCTCGTTGACGTGGAGCGAGAGCGAGATATCATCATCAAGGAGAAGGAGCAGGAGATCAAGGCTCGCAAAGCATTGGTCGTCGAACTGGAGGTAGTCAACAACAATTTGCTCAAGGCCACGGGTGAGTACGGGGACATAATATTTTGGTGTATTTAAATTGATATATTTATTTCGACAAAAAAAAAAAATAAAAAAAAAATAATTTATACTTTAAAAGGAAAATAAGCCAAATGTTAATACTGTACATACATTGAGTATTCTTAAAAGAAAAAAAGAAGTTGCCCGATTTTAAAGACACTGTAATCGCGCTGGTTCCTTTTTGCTAGATGCGATCCATATGGTCTACGTACTTTTTAGCACACACTCTAGTCCAGGCGCCTGGTAGCTAAAAATAAGGCTACCTGGAATTTCGGGTACACAGCGATTTTTTTCGCTTACTTAATGTTTTTTGGGTCGTTGAATCCGAATCTGAAGTTTCCTACCGCGTGTCTGGTGAGAATTTTTCGCCATTTTGAAAAAATGGCCTAAAAAGGCCTTTCTTGCGGATTTTTTTTTTTTATATAGCGGCTACGCATGAGAAAAGGCCCCGGATTTAGTTAATGTTTTGAATAGCTGACATAATTTGGAAGAAAGTGGTGTATACATATGCTAGGTTTGCTTAAAAATTGAGGAAGATACAACATCGTGAACATCTCGCCCATTCACGTTTTCGCGGCGCACCCGTCAACGCGCGATCCGGCTCGCCGCGGTCAGCCAAGTTCCGAAGCGTTCCAAAGTTCCGAGATCCGAGGTTCCTCAATTTTTAGCAAACCTAGCATATTCATATACCATTTTCTTCCAAATTGTGTCAGCTATTCAAAACATTAACTAAATCCGGGACTTTTTCTCATGCGTAGCCGCTATATTAAAAAAAAAAAACGCAAAAAAGGCCTTTTTAGGCCATTTTTTCAAAATGGCGGAAAATGCTCACCAGATACGCGGTAGCAAACTTCAGATTCGGATTCAGCGACCCAAAAAACATACAGTAGGTAAAAAAAAATCGCTGTGTACCCAAAATTCCAGGTAGACTTACCAGGCGCTTGGACTACTCAGAGACTTCGAGTGTGTAGGTTGGAAAAAAGTTCCATTGCTCTGTAAACCGTTCCAAAATGCTGATTACTTTATGCTCTACATCCTCAGCTGCCAATTACGAAGAAGCGAAAAATCGGAAGATTCAGGAGCAGCAGAAAAAAGAGGCCGAGTTAATTCTGGAAAGTGCCAGGGAAGAACTGAACAAACTCAAAGTGGCACATAACACCATTGAAAAAGACAAAGAGAAGTGAGTAAAAAATAAGCATCGAGTACAATCTTTGCACCAACGCAATCAATGCATCTTTATATTAGAATAGTTTACTCCTGAGAAAAGAAGTATTTGACTCACATTTTTTGGAACATTTAAGGTATCTGCATCTTGGAAATCTCCAAAGGTTTCTTCCGGGTAAAAACCTTGATACAGTACCCATCTGCCGTGGGTTTGAGACACATGAAACTCCGAAAATTGCGATTAACAATAGAATCAATAAAGCCAAAGCGAAGTGTAGTTTCCCCTGAAATTTCAAAATGACTGAAATGGAGTTGAGTACATTTTTACTCTGGGGCAATGATGTAAACTGATTGCTGAAGCACATTAATTTTTTAAGTCTTTTGGCTCGTATTTTTACGATTCTCAGGTATTTTGCGCATTGCATGAATTACTTTCAATGTGTATCTCTCTAGGAGAAGTTTATACATGTATGAAGGACAAATGTATTTCAAATGTTCGTCCATAGATTTGAAACAGCCTCGCTGGAGCTCGTTTCTAATTTAAAAAGGAATGTCTCGTCACTTCTCGCCATCAATTGATCGGTATTTCTTCCTAGTCTTGCGTTAAAGTCACTGAACGGTCCACATTAAATGGGAATGGTCTAGCGTTCTTGTTAATACCAGGTCTATTTGTCAACTCAGATACACTCCGTTACTGTGAGTTCAAAACCCTATACCGTCCACTATGATGTCTCTCTTTGAGAAAAAACTCATCAATACTTAGTCTTAAAATTTTCTGAATTTTCCTCATTTTATGAGGAATATTCTGTTAAAAATTTCAAACACTGTCCGCTAGAATACAGAGGCGGATCCAGCAATTTGACAACACCGGATTCCCTTCATTTAAACCTATGTTGGATAATCGATTCCTGTCGGAGCACCTGGCCCCTCCAAGAATCGATACATTTCCATAGGTTTAAATGGAGAAAAAACAATGTTGCCAATTTGCTGGATCCGCCGATGCTAGAATATTGGTTTCGTTTTTAATTTAAAAAGTAATATCGTCCATTTTGAAACATCGCAGTCAAGATTCTTGTTTTTAAACTCCCCATGGCGATCCTTTTTTACTGCATCTATCGATTAGACACAACGACTAAGAGACTATTTCTAGAGGTTGGTCAACATAATACGCACTGAAAAAAAAATGTCCGTGTATTTACTAAGAAAAGGGTAAAATTACCAAAAATTCAGGGTTCTATTTGATCCCAGTTTTTTCTTGGTAAAATTATCATTTATGGAATTGGTAACTTTATACCGAGAGATCTCGGTAAAATTATTGAACTCTCTCGGTAATTTTACTGGATCTTGGTAAAAACGCCAATATTTTTTATCGACTGTGGTAGAATTACCGAGATGAAATGGCAAAGTTACCGGGAATTGATTACTAACAAAAGTGGTATTCTTACCTGAAAAAAGCAGTAAAAATAACGGTTTTTAGGGAAGCTTACCATAGTCTACCTTGGTAAAATTACCAATAATTGGTAAAAAAAAGTGAGATGGTAAAGGTACCAACGGACCTTGGTAAAAACGCCGAGAATTTTTTTTCAGTGCGAATGTCAATTTTTGCGAGTGCTCCCTCCTTTTTCAGGTTAGAGAAAGAAGTTGCAAATTTAAAGCAGAAGCTGGAGTTGACATTAGAGGATGGACAAAAGAAAGATTCAGCGATAAAAGCCCTGAAAAAAGAGCTTGATGAAGTAAAAAAGAAGCTGAGCAACGAACAGTTATCCCTGGATGCTGTCCGTGCTGAGAAAAACAGCTTCTGCAAACATCTTTATGACACTGAGGTAATTGTCTTTTTCTAATTGTGAATGACGATGTTTGTCTGACAGGCAATTAGCAATCCCGAGGCAGCAGTGGTCGAGATAAGTTGTGATTTGATCAGAGAATGTAAGGCAATTTTATCGACATCGATTTATTGCAATACGAGAGAATGAAAAATTGCGATTTCATCGCATACATTTGCAATGAAACCGTGATTTTATCGCATACATTTGCAATGAAATCGTGATTTTATCGATGGCGATTCATCGCAATATTATCGAAAAAAATCGCGATAAATTGAGATAAAATTTCGATTTTATCAAAAACGATTTAATATAGATAAAATTGCGACAAAATTGAGGATAATTGCTCGGATGTTGATGATCCTACCGACTTCATCGCTAAAAATTCGTAAACAAATCGCAACTTAATGTGAAAATATTGCGATCTTCCAGTTGAAAAATACCACGTAGGTCGCCGGCAATTTGCGAGCCACACTGAATTGAAAATCATCTTCATCGTTCTAAGTAAGAACATAAGCGTAGTTGTGCATATGCGTTGCGGTGATGATAATAAAGGTGAGGAAACGGGAGGATGCAATTATATCGACTCTTAAGTAGTTTAAATTGCATACCAGCTGAATTGCAGGCGTTTCAGTTTCTCGATGATTCTCTCTCTCCATCTCTTAGCAATATAAGATTGAGACCATGTAAGGAGCATTTGGAACGCGTTAAACAGTAAGAAACCAAGCCACATCAGCTATTGCCAATAATGTAATTGGGCAATTTAATTTTTTAAAAGAAAACGTTCGGGCGGATTTTTTTCTTAAATTTTCAAGGAATTTGCTTCGCTTTATGCAGAAAATTTACTGAAACTTGCACAAAAATCCGCACAACCGTTTTCATGTAAAAAATTAAATGGCCTAATTAAACTTGGCAATAGCTGATGTTGCTTGGTTCCTTCCTGCTAAAAGCGGTCCATTCATGAAGAGGGAGTTTCTCAGATGCATGCGTCATTTGATGGAAAAACTAATGAACTATATGTAACAAGGTGGAGAAATGGTGCTGGATCCACACCATTTCGTGGGGAAATAAAGCCAAGAAATTCAAAAAAGTAAAATTAGAGTCAAAATTAAATTTAAAAAAATTAAATTTTTTTCCCCGCGAAATGGTGTGGACCCAGTACCATTTCTTCACCTTGTTACATACAGTTCGGGCCACTTGTTAGGGTTTTTTTTTCTTTTTTTTTCTAATGAACTAGTAGACAAGGTACAAACTTAAGCATTTTGATACATGATTCTCAACCAAATTTTCACTCAAAACACGCTTCACGCAATGAGAATTACGGAAAATGACTCCTTGCTAACATTTTCAATTATCCTGCAGCTTTTTTTTCTTTTCTTTACTTCAATTAAAAATGATTTTAGGAGCAACTGGCCGCATACAAGCAGAAACTCAAGGTGCTGAACCATCAAGCGGAACAGCAGAAGGATGACATAAAACAGAAAGAATCGCAATTAATGCGAGAGCAGTCGAGTGAGTATTAGGGGCGTGGCGTGCTTTGCGATACATCGATAGATCTGTCATTAAAACCTATGGAAAAGGATCGATAAACAGGGTGTTCGCAGCGAACACCTTAATAATCGATTATTTACCACAGCTTCCAATGGGGAAATATCGATAGATCGCAAAGCACGCCACGCCACTGGTGAGTATAGTCTTTTAAATTATTTAAATGTTATTAAACCAATAGATTATACACAATAACTTAAGTAACATGCTATGGGAAAATTATAATGGCATGCCATAGTGGGGCACAGTTAAAAGTTGTAGTGATTTTGTGATTAATTTTTAAATTTTATTTAACTGCGAATTTCGTGGACAAGCCACTGGAATTTAGCTATTTCAGCGAGTTTAGATAATTGTATTCTACTTTAAATTTTATAACTGCGGGCTGACCATTGAAATGGAGATGTTGCATGTGTGAGGAATTTGCGATTTGATTGTAGATTCTTCTGTAAAAGTTCGCGAGAAACACGATGGTGCTACTGGTTTTCTCTGAAATCAACTCCTAAGCTCAAAAAAAGCTCTCAAGTTGAGGCCAATATGGAGGAGATATCCCACGCTATCCTGAGAGTCCACCTTTACATCAAAACAAACTCTCCATGCAAAGATAAGGAGCAAATACACTGACAGGGCTGCCACTTTAATTGGGGACTCTAAAGCTGAAAACACGGCAATCCTGTCAATGTATTTGCTCCCTATTTTTGCTTGGAGAGTTTGTCTTGATGTAGAGGCGGTGGACTCTCAAGATAGCGAGGGATATCCCCTCCATTTTGGCTTCAACTTGAGAGCTTTTTTTGAGCTTGGGAGGTAATTTCAGAGAAAATCAGTGGCACCATCGTGTTTCTCGCAAACTTTTGCATAAGAATCAACAGTCAAATCGCAAATTCCTCACACATGCAACATCTTCATTCATAGACAAAACTATAGACAACGAAGACGGGGTAAGAAGGGACCCTATTGGTGGACGCGGGTGGTTGCAATGGACAAAGGAGGGAGGTAATGGACTAATTGACGACAACCAACGAGAAACCCTATGGCTAGTCCATCATAATCTCCCTTAGTCTATAGTAATCACCAATAGGATCGCTCCACAATCCTAATGTCCATAGCTTTGTCTATCAATTTCAATAATCAACCCGCTCGTGAACTTATCGATGAGGAGAGATGCCTGACTCATAGGTCTGCACTATCTTGCGGATCGTAAGAACATTGAATTGTAAGTTGAAACAAAGCGGCTGAAAATCAGTCAAAAGCCTTCATATTTTTGTGTAGGCAGTACCGCACCACTCTCGAGTTGAAATATTTCCATCACTCGAATATGATCGATTTAGAGTTCGAAATGCAATAATTCTTGTAGGTCTACTAGTTAAATAGTATATTATTAAGGATGAACGCCGCAAAAAAACTCCGAATGTTGTCAAAATACCCCCGATAAAATATTTATTTTTTATGAAAGTGAAAAATGACCCTCGACTTTTGCAGAGCTTCAAAAGATTGAAAAAGAGAAGGACGCACTTTTCAAGGAGATCGTCAGCGCCTTCATATTTTTGTATAGGCAGCACCGCATCACTCTCGAGTTAAAATATTTCCATCACTCGAATATGATCGATTTAGAGTTCGAAATGCAATAATTCTTGTAGGTCTACTAGTTAAATAGTATATTATTCAGGATGAACGCCACATAAAACTCCGAATGTTGTCAAATACTCCCGATAAAATATTTATTTTTTATGAAAGTGAAAAATGACCCTCGACTTTTGCAGAGCTTCAAAAGATCGAAAAAGAGAAGGACGCACTTTTCAAGGAGATCGTCAGCGCCTTCATATTTTTGTATAGGCAGCACCGCATCGCTTTCGAGTTAAAATATTACTATCACTCGAATATGATCGATGTAGAGTTTGAAATGCAATAATTCTTGTAGGTCGACTAGTTAAATATTATATTATTAAGGATGAACGCCACATAAAACTCCGAATGTTGTCAAAATACTTCCGATAAAATATTTATTTCTTATGAAAGTGAAAAATGACCCTCGACTTTTGCAGAGCTTCAAAAGATTGAAAAAGAGAAGGACGCACTGTTCAAGGAGATCGTCAGCCGTGAGAACGAGCTCAAAGACGCGAAACAAATCGTAACCGAGTTAACGACGCAAAACAAAAATTTGAACTCCATCATTGCCGAGTTATGTCGCGAGAAAAAACAAGGAGAAAGGGGACTCGAAAAGGTTTGTCCTTTGAAATACAAGATACGTCATGGTGGAAGATATGTGGACGGTGAAAGTCGGCAATCACATAACTCGTTTGCGGTGTCTGAAAATCTCCTCCTCTACGTCATTTTTTTTAAAGGAGAGCAAATTGACATTATTTCTTGAAGTTTTTGCAGAATTTTCTTCGCATTGAGAAGAAAAATCGTGACAGTCTTAAAGAATTGCCGTTGAGTAGTTTTCCATTTAAAAAATAAAGTACCTATGACAGGAAGTCTGCGACGTCCCAAACCGAGTTATGTGATTGCCGACTTACACCGTCGATGTTGCATTGGGTCAGTTGTGCTGATCACAGAATTGTGTTCTGACAATTGATTCTAGTAGATTAGCTAAAAATATTAATAAGATCCGTCTAAGCCTCAACTTTTTACGTGCAATGTTAACCGAGATGTCGCCCTTGGAAAAATCGGGTTTTTGACGTCATCTACCACGGTAGTGACACCCTTGGTTTCCTCCACCTTGGTTTTATCAGTCAGGGAGACACACATTAGCACTGGTTACTCTACATGAAACGCGGATGAAAGCAAGGTGGAAGAAACCAAGGGTGTCACTACCGTGGCGGATGACGTCAAAAACCCGACTATTCAAAGGGCGATATCTCGGTCAATATTGAACGTAAAAAGTTACCGTTTGGACAGATCTTAATATTTTTAGTTAGTCTATTTGAATCAAGCATCAAAGCACAATTTTGTAAGCAGCGCAACTGATCCGTTTTAAGAGGGTCAAATATTTAACGAGAACTACTCGATTCTTCAAACCGTAATAAGATTTTCTCGTTTTAAAACTTTTTTACTCTATGAGAAAAAGAGAGCCGAACTAAAATGTCGCCCGTTGTCCGAAAATGAAACGAACGAAAACATGTGCCGAAGTGAGGGGCCCTCTAAACATAGACAGTTTTCCTTCAAATGTCCTCATCCGCTTCCAAACTCGAAATGCTTAAATTTTCCAGATGATCACCGAACGAGACGTTTTGAACTCGCAGCTGATGAAAAAGACGGAGGAGGTGGAAGCGGCCAATAAGAAAATTGAGTCGTTGCAAGACTCCCTTCAAAACGGAGAGACGCAATACACCATGCGCCTCGACGACATACGACTTCTAAAACTCGAAGTTGTTAAACTAAGGTGAATACTGCCGTGCTAAGGAAAAACGCCGTGTGAGCCTTTGGGCGTTGCCAAATTTCCTTTGATAACACCCGAATTTCCTGGTAAACTTACGAATATTTTCCTTCCAATTTTTCAGATAATTTTGTTTGCAATTGCACCTAAATTTCCTGAAAATTTCAAGGAAACGTATTCAAAACTTTCCTTTGAGATAAACATTTTATGGAGGGAAATTTGGTAGTCCTCGAAAGTTCATACGGCGTTCTTCCTTAGTACGGCAGAATACTATCGCATTAAATTTCAAATAAAAACATTCACCGATTTTCAACAAAATAAATGGTTTATCCGAAGGGAATAGATACCTTTCGAATCCACTTACACATTTTGTCGTTATTCTGGCACAAGGGCGTGTCCTCATTTCAACATGAGCCCTGTTGTCCATATAATACCATGCTTGTTGCCATGCTCTTGTTCAAATCAAGACACTCCCTTACGTCAGAGGAGCGACGATTTTTGCTCAGCACAACTCAAGTGGAAATCCTTCCCATCTAGTTTTGTCACTCCTCCGGTGCACAGTGGATCGAGTCAATAGGAGAGGTCGGACATAATTTGGAAACTTTAAAAGCTTATAACTCCGTTAAATTTAAACTATGAGATTTTAAAAATGGTTCCATTGATTTCCTCGTGAAATTTTCTTCAAGAAGCACCTCTTACAGTTTAAAATGTGACGAAATAAACATCAAAATTTGCAGTTTTAATAAAAAATTTCATGTCCGACCTCTCTGATTGACTTGATCCACTGTGCGGTGTAAGGGCGTATCTCGATTTCCCTCATGAGCCCCAGAGAGCATGGATTCATATGTAAAACAGGGCTCACGTTGAAATTGAGATGTACGCCCTTGCGTCAGACTATTTATGAGTGACATCCCGCTGAAACCGATAAAATGAATCTATTTTGAATCTCTCACAGATTTAAAGCTCAATTTCTGCTACTTTGTACTGCCAAATAGTTGTTCTGGAGCCAACAAATCTAATTATATTACTTTTTCTCTATTTCAATTTTTCACAGTAATAGTAAAAATTCATTTATGGAGCAAACTGAGCTCTCCGTAATAGTGGCGATTCTAGCAAGAGGGCAACACTCTTAATACTCCATTGCAACCCATTGAATATATAGATTCTTAGTGAGACAGGCTACCGCAGCTAGAAATCGATTGTTTAACATACATTTAAAAAGAGAAAAAAAGTGTTCCCAACTTGCTAGAACCGTTACTGCTCTATACTTAAGTGTTACCTGAAAAATATTGTAATGACAAGTCCCTTAAAACAACTTCAAAGAAAATTGTATGAAGCTACCATGCTTTAGCTACCAAAGAAATTTATCGCTTAATAGGTTTTATCATTATTTTTGTAACCGCGATTATGGTAATGAAATTTTTTCCAAAAATTGTATCCGAAATTTTTTCTGAAGATCGGAGAAAACAGCTTTGCGGAGGAGTTTGGCGAGTCTGGCCGACTCGAGACAGCATATTTTCAACCTGGAGCGAGATCTAGCAAAAGAAAGAGTCAAGTGTCGAGCTTTGGAGGAGGAACTGCAAAATCCCCTTAACATTCATCGATGGAGAAAGCTAGAGGTAGGAGATAATAGGTACCTAGTTCTTAGATGATTTTGCCCGTGAAACAATATCGGTTACTTTTAGTGATTGAGTTGGTGCAACGTGTCGCGAATCGTATTTTAGAAGTTGAATCTTGTGGATTGGCAGAGGAAATTACTATGACCGTCCATTAAAAACGGAACTTTAAATTACTAGAGATCATTACACAACTTCAATTTCATAAGAATAATCCAGCAGAGTGGACAAACACTTCAAAATCATGAGTTGAAAAACGCTGACTCCGCGAGTTTAAATATTAGAGCCTAACACAGAGCAGTGCAGCGTGCTGCCAGCGCGAAACGCGCACTGGCGCGGCGCCTACAAACCTAACAGGGATACTTCACGCATTGCGCAATGCGTGAAGTATCCCTCTTAGGTTTGTAGGTGCCAGTGCGCGGGTCACGCTGGTTGCCCGCCGCGCCGCGGAGTGCCACGGCGCTTCAAGCAACTATTGCGCCACAGAAGTGTTGCACAGTATCATACGAAACTGAAGGCGCTCCAACGTATCAAGAATGTTAGGCATCACGGAGCTTTCCTCGCAAAATAAATCAAGATACTACGGCACAAAAAGGGAGCGGTAGTCCAAAAACTCACTAAGCCCTTGCATCCGTATTTCATAACGTGTAGCATAATTTTTGAATTTCATTAGAGAAAATAGTGACTTGATTCGGGCAGAAACATCATTGAGTGTGCCACCAAGAAGATTTTATTTTAAATCAAGAATAAAATCGCCGAATGAAAGCGGGTTTCTGTTTGATGTAAGTGACTTTTCTTCTTATACAAGCATTTTTTCTTCTTATAATACAAGCATTTTTTCTTCTTAATACAAGCATTATTCTTTTCATTGATTCATTCTCGGCGGTAAATTTGAGCATATTTCTGCTTGAATCAAGCCACTTATTCCTCTAATGAAGTTTAAAATGTATGCTAACCGTCACGGATACGAGGACTTGGCACTAGAAATTTTCCCCTTCCCCTGACCCCCCACCCCCGAATGATACCTCTATTAAGACACATTCATGATATCGACGTGGTAAGTTCGTAACCACGTATCTTGGTTTTCGACGTCGCAGACTTTCTGTCATACTTTATTTTTTTTTCAACGGGAAATCTTAAAAATTGCTGTGATTTTTCTTCTCTGAGGAAAGAGAATTCTGCGAAAACTTCAAGGAATGATGCCATTTGCTCTCCCTTAAGATGTTTCGATGGACGCCATATTTTGTGTCAAAACGGCATGCGATACATCGCATCAATTGGCTCCATTTTTTCAGCTACTCGTCATTTTCCTCCAATTTTGAGATCGCAATTTTGTTGTCAGGAGACTATAGCACTCACTTACCAATTTTAACAAAGAAATTTAACGTAATAATGGCGGGGGTTTTTTAGAGAGAAAATATCGCATTCGAGTGCAGTTTCGATATCAGTATCGAATGTGATGTTTTCTCTCTAAAAAAACCACGCCTTTTTTACGTTGAATTTCTTTGTTACAATTGGTAAATGAGTGCTTTAGTCTCCTGACAACAGAATTGCGATCTCTAAATGGACCCCTAGACAAGGTACGAATTTAAGCAATCTGATACATAGCCCTTAACCAGAATTTCACGTAGAACACGATTCACACAACGAAAATTACTGAAACCAACTCCTAAAGAAGATATTAACGTTTTTATTTCACATTGGTTACGAGGAATTTGAACTGCCCGCTCACAAGAAACTCAAAGCTCTACGTGAGTTAAATCGCGCTCTACAACGGTTTCAGGAAGCTTCTCAATCGAGCAATGTTCATTTCCCACCATGTGTTGTTCAAACTATTAGCAATTTGCTATAGCTGAGCCGAGGCGACAAGATTGAGGTTGCCAGATTGTTATATCGCAGAGATTGTCATGATAACGTTTAGTGCGCGATGTGAATCACGTAGAGCATTGAGTTTTCATGAGCGGGTGGTTTGAATTCACGCATTAAGAATCATTAAATATCTTTGTAAGGAGATAATTGCGGTAATTTTTGTTGTGCGCATCGTGTTTTACGTGAAATTTGGATAAAGAAACATGCATCAGAATGCTGAAATTTGTACCTTGTCTAGTGGTCCATTTCGACCCGTCTACTAGCGGTTCTGATTGCGTAGGGCTCAGATCCAGAGTGTTATCAGCTGATCAACAAGATGCAGCTGCTCCAGAAACGAGTGCTCTCGAAAACGTCGGAAGTGGTCGAGAAGGAGGAGCAACTCAAGGAGGCGGAGGAGTTGTACGCCGACTTGAAAACCATGCTCTCAAGACGGCCGCCTCCTGACCTCCAGGACAAGTTCAAAGCCGTCCAACTCCAAATCCAGCAGAAGAATCGGAAAATCCAGGTAAAAGAATAACCCGTTCAAGAGCATGCAGAAGGAAAAAGGAGGTGTTTGCGTATTGAGGATTGTTTATCCCGTGACGTAGGTCGGTACAGCATGGCCAGCAAAATCCGGAATTCGAAGTATTAAAAACCGACCATAATGTCCGATTTTCCTGCTTAAATCAACTCATGATATAATTTCAAACACTTTACGTAGAATGACTTTTTTCGATGAAGTACCAAGAAAATCGATTATTAAAAGTCGTCCGTACCGACCTACGTCATCAAAAAATCCAAGATGCCCAAAATGCAAACACCTCCTTTTCTTTCTCTATGAGGTTGAAGAATAACCCTCCACAAGAAGTTCCTATTTGATGCAGTCCTTTCATCGGAGACCACTGTTACCACTTGGAGGAGTGCGGTTTGCATATCCAAAAAAATGAAGGCGCCCGTTCTCCTACTTCTTACATCGACAGACAGTGGATCGAATTAATCAGAGAGGTCGGACATGGAATTTTGGACTGAGACTGCAAATTTTGATGTTTACCTCGTCACATTTTTTTTCCCCATCGTTTTTTCAAAACGAGGAGACCAATTAAGCCACTTTCAGAACCTCAAAGTTTGTATAAACGGAGTCATATAAGCGTTGAAAGTTTCCAAATTTTGTCCAACTTCTCCTGTTGACTCGATCCACTGTTCAACGGTGAAAGTCGGCGACTACGTATCTCGGTTTCCAACGTTGCAGACTTCCTTCATTTTTTAAATGGGAAAACTACTCAACGACAGTTCTAAAAAACTGCCGTGGTTTTCCTTCTTTGTGCGAAGAAATGTCTGCGGAAACTTCAAAAAATGATATCGATTTATGTTCTCCTGAGAAAGAATAAAATAGGAGTGAAAATTTTGAAGTACCGCGAACGATAAACGTATGCGGACTTCCACTGTCTATATTCTGTTTTCAAGAAACAGAGTTCAGTTATGTTTCCAGCGGAGTTTTTGAGTCATCGCGATGGAGATACGTGGCTTCGCACTTTGGTCATGGACATCCTCTGTAAACTGAATGAGTGCAATGCAGAGAAAAGCATCATTCTTTTAAACGAGAGAGGGGGAGAGAGAGAGAGGGGGGGAGAGAGGGGGGGGAGAGAGAGAGAGATTGAGGAAACCTTTTAGAGGAAATGTTTCGAGATAACCTGCATTCCCCCATCGCGTGGCCTTAAGTGTTTACTTCAAACGGAAAATAAAGTTTGTACAACAAATCGTCGCTCCTCTGGCGTAGGTAAGGGCGTATCTCAATTTTCACGCGAGCCCTGTTCTATGTATACCTCTATCATTTCTGGGGCTCGCGTGAAAATGAAGAGGAGCGACAAAAGTACGCACATCATATTACTTTGTTGTCGAACAAAATGCTAAATATCACAAACATATCGACCCCAAGTTAGAGTAAATATTTCAGGATAAGTAAGTTAAATGTAATGAGGAAAACTTCAAGGGAAAAATGTCCGGAAAAATAAAGTCCGTAAATACAATAGTCTCGATTATCCGCGATTCGAGTTATCCGCAAATTTTTCCGTGACTGGGCCAAAACCGCTACAGTTCTCCAGCGCGGACTCCTATTTTCGATGTTTGCGGAAATTTCTTGAGGTAAACTTTATTTATTTCTTCATTGTTGGACAAGGTTTCAATGGGTTCTTTTATAATACAGCCTTTCCAATCCCTTTACTCGGTTTGATAGCTCAATCTCGTATTATCCGCAATAGTCTTGGTTCCAATCATCACGGATAAGCGAGACTCTACTGTACGTGGTCATACACCATGATGAGACATATTTTTGCTTACATTTTCATTTAATATCATTCTAACGAAATCTAATCGAAGAAAAATTGTGAGGACTGTGATCGAGTTACCACGTACATGTCGCTTTTCGGGTGTAGGTATAATCTTCTAATAACAGTCTTATGTTTTGGGCCCGGAGAGGTAGCGCGTCTCCCGCATTCATCGACACCTGCTCTGAAGAATCATATCAACCTCCTCACCAAGATATGTCCTCTGGTGTTAGAAAGATCAAAGCACAAGCTTATTCACGTTACGACCATTCACCCCAGATTTGACTCCACAGCCCTGATTCGCAATCTGCACAACGCTCTCATACCAACCCTGCATGCAAACAGTGTTCAGCCCATGGGGCCGCAGTTTACCGAAACCGAGCCAAAAACCATGCTGTTTATACTCGATGATTTCACCAACATCCTTAACCTCATTCTGGGCTCTCAAAATTTTGGAAAAGTGGACACTGCCGCCACATCACTCCGAGCTCTAAAAAATGTCTCAAAGTCATTGGACGGTAAGCAGGGGCCACTCAACCTGCCAAAATGCTGCATCCACCTCGAAACGGAGTTTAAATTGATTTTAATGAATCCGACAAGTCCTTGCGACGAGAATTTCACGATTTCCGATATTCAACTGCAAGAGGACTCACATTTATCCGAATCTCTTTTCGACCGAGTTCGAGGTCTGTCCCAGAACAACGTATGGAATGCTAGAAATTATTTGATATTTTACGTGATGAGCGCTTTTCAAGTTCCGCAAATCTTGGAGGAGAATTCTCACGGAGCAGTGAATCAAATTTCTTATTCACTGCGTTTCGCGTTCAGATTCATGTGGCGTATATTTAAAGGCCAAAAAACTTTGATCTGCTTACGAGAGGCGTGTTACCGCTATGACCCATTCTTTGAGAAAATACAGGAATACGTGAAAGGAGGCGATGATGTGTTTTTCGATTTTTCGTGGTACTCGATGAATCAAAAACCACTTACCTTTTCCACGGTAGAACTCGAGCCATTTTCTTTCGACGGTAGAGTGACCGACGTTTGCGCAGCAAACACCGTTATGCCTTTTGTACTTGTACTTATGTACGTGGCCTCAAGTCGAAACTGCCGCTTGCATCCAATTTCAAAAGAAGTCCATTTTATAAAGGATCCATTTTCTTCACTCGACACTTCAACCCAGCTCGAACACCTAGAATTCGGGCTAAAGTATGGGGTGGATGTACACGTCACTGGAGCCGGACTCGGTAATCTAGCAAATCTGCGAGACTTCGATATCTCTCCGACTGTGGAATCGTGTCAGCTTACATTTAGACTCCCGCGCAAAGGCTACGTCCCTCAAGATGTGGTTCCATTCTACAGCTTCTCACTCACAGTTTGGATATTCATTATTGTGACTCTCCTCATCCTCGCTCTGGTCCATTACACTCTCGCGATTTCGTATATAAACATTTTCTACCGTTCGGACACCGAAGAGAGCACGCTGGGCCACGAGTTATTTCCAACCCTCATGACGATCTACAGATATACTCTGGGGATAAGTCAGCCCCGGTTGATAATGGTTGAGTTGATGGTGGGGAAAATATTTTTCCTCATCATCGTATTCTCGATGATGGTTCTTATTACTCTTTTCCAGAGCGGAATGTTCAGTTTGTTGAGTTCACGTGTGCGCTTTAGGGATATCGACACGGTCAAGGAAATTGAAGAATCCGACTTTTTGGTGCAGTCTAGCGGCATTGAAATCGACGCGCAGTTGCTTGGTGATGAGTCGGAATTCGGCTGGATTAGACAAAAACTAACCGACAGTTTCAAGTTTATATGCGGACAACATTATACGCCTAACCTCTTTGTTGACGCTGATCTATTGATGAATGAAACCCTGATTGATACCGACGAAAGAATTTAGTCATGAGAGAAGTTGACACTATGCTAAAATCCAATGCATTCCTCACTAGGATGAGCACAAAGTATACCGATTTGAACGACTTGGTGTACGTGGATCACGCAACAAAAAAAGAGTACGAATTCCACGTTGCGCGTGAACGTCTTTTGAGCTACCCGTTAATGTATTTCATGCCACGGAATGGGTTCTACCACGAGGTTGTGAATGATGTATTATTCCGTTTGTTGGAGATGGGCTATTTAAACAAGGACATTGCAGAATTTGCGCCGAGGGATTTTAGTAAATATCGTGCGAAGGAAAATAACGATGAGGCTAGACCTTTCACTTTGACTGATCTGAGGCTTGCGTTTTTCTCGCTCGTTATTGGATGGATTTTAAGTGCTTCCTGCTTCATCATGGAACTACTTTGACTCGTGCACACTGTAAAGTGACATTCTCGCTTTCAATTATTATTAGTCTGCATATTAAGATTATTTAATCTGAGTATTTTATAAAAATATTAATGTGTGAAATAAAGGATAACATAACAAAGTTTTTATATTTAGAAAATCATGATACCTTATTGTTGTATGTTATGTTGTGTGACATGTACACTAGTAGGTGCACCCCTTGGCCGTTTCACGGCATAACCCTCCCAGGCGCTTCGCGCGAATTTCTTTATTGGGGGAAGAGGTGCTGTAGGTCTTAAATTCTTATCCCATCTGGACATTTGGCAACTCTCGAACGTTCATACGGCGTTCTTCCTTAGCGCGGCAGAATGGATCTCTATAAAAATCCAAACAGAGTGTGTTCCGCATTACCCCTGCCTGAAATCGATTGTCGAGCGGTTTTATGTTAAAGTTTTAAAATTAAGAACACTGTTTACCCAGAGAATGACACTGTAGGATCATGCTTGACATTTACAGAAATTATAATAAAGTCCTTTAATAGAATTATAGACATAAGGCATCAATTTTAGGGACATTTCAGGGAACGAATGGAATGATAGAGGGAATGAAGGAAATGAATCGGATTGCATTTTGCAAAATGGAACCAAGAGCATTCCAATGTTGCTAGGATTTTGCATCTTACATCATTCGCAATAAAATTACTATGAAATCGTGCAAAAAATTAAACTGACTAAGGTAATTTCCGTCTTGAGTTTGTCGTTTATTGGGAGTAAAGATAGAATTTGTTTAGAGATGATCTATATATTTGTAAGGTAAAATCATTCGTACAATCTGAGTGACTCTGGAATGCTCTTGCTTCCTTTTTGCAAAATGCAATCGAATGGACCACTATATGCATTTCACTCATTGAATTTCCGAAGTACGCTCTTACATGGTTTTCAAAAAAAAATGTCGCATTACCTTCGAAAGAGAACATCTTCAATTTTAAGAAAATGTATTCTCTGTGGACTCCGGAAAAAGAGTCTGGAGACTGAAACGAAACATAAGAAAAAGAACCATCCGAGAAAAATTTCTTTAAATATGACCTCCCCCAGCCCCTTAGAATTTTAGCTCTCGGACTTTGAAAAATAAGCCAGGGACCCAAGCATTACAGATTCATCTTTACTTCTTATTATGCCGCTTATGCATAAGAGCAGTTCTTGATAGAGTAATTCATATTATACGTGATGTTAACAATGGGTGACAAACACATGAGAAACCACAATTTCTCTCATGTTCAAACCTCACCTTCTCAAGCAAACTTTGCCTTCTCGGGCTGTGAAAAATTACTTCGGAGACTTAAACGCAAACACATGAAAAACAACCAAAAATCCGTTAAGTTTCACCCTTCCCTCGAGCAAAATTTGCCTCTTCGGAAAAACTGTTTCTGCCGTGCTATGAGAAAACGCCACATGCACCTTTAGGCGTTTCCAAAGTTCCCTCGGTAAAAGGCGAATTATCCGGGAGATCGGCGAATGTTTTCCTTCCAACGTCTGAAGGTGAATCTAGCCACCTCAAACAGGGGCCTCTCCCAGAAAATGATTAAATTTAAGAGCATCTGATGTGCAGTTTCGTTCAATTTCGTCATGAATAACTATCAAGTGTAAGCGTCCTCCCTTCTTCTGTCCTCCGTTCCTTCTTTCTGTCTTCCTTCTCTTTTCCTTCTTTCTTTTTTCGGGCATACGGAGGGGAGGGGGCGCTCACCCCCAACGCCTCCTTCCTTGGATTCGCCTGGTGGCCGTTCAAGAATAACGTAACGCACTTAGGAGAGAGGGAGGGGGGGTGAGCCAGCGTTACGTTGCATTACAAGGGGGGAGGGGGTTAAGCCTAGCGATACGTGAGAAATCCGAGGCTAGAAAAAAAAATTTAAAGAAATGTATAAAATAATGAAAATCCCGCCCTTCCCTATGTTGATCTCTTCCCATTGTATTTCAGCAAAATATTTCTAGAAAGCCCTGAATTTTTCAAGCTGTCTCCTCGGCGTTTTCTTGTTTTATTGAACATTAAGGGGGGGGGCAAGCCAATGTTACGTAATTCAAAAAAGGGTGTAGGAATGCATTACAAGGGGGAGAGGGGGTGGGTCAATAAATCGGAAAAAGTGCATCACGTACTGCTCGAACGGTCTCAATGACAATGTTTCAGAGAATCGCATTCGCGATCGGATCTAACCCTTTGCCTCCCTTAATTTAAAAATCTAAATTTTTGTACATGCACCCATCTTCCAAATTCTTTGTAAAGACGTTAATAGCCCAAGATGCTGAATGTCTTCAAATAAATTAACTAACTAACTAAATAATCTGAAAATTTCTAGAGAAAATATTCATAAGGGGCCGTCTCTAAATTAAATAGCGCACTTCTTCGGCGTTTCTGACCCCCCCCCCCCCCCCCCCCCCCCCCC